GTTTTTATTCATCGTGTGGCTTTCACCAAAGTGGAAGGCTTCGAATCCTGCATCAGTTTACGGTTTTGCTCAACGCCCAGCTGACACACCGTGTTATAACTGACATACTGGTCCAAGCTGCGTTAAACCACTCACCCCTTGTTACAGGTGCGGCTGGCAGAGATCCTGAGGGACATCTACTTTGTGGCCAGCATTATCTCCCTTGCTTTCCTCATCCTCACGCTCTTCATATTCTCCTACTTCAAGTAAGTGTCTCCCTCTGCCAGGGGAGGGGTCTACATTTGCCAACCCATGTATTTACAATTAAAACTATGAGCCTAAATATTTATTTATTTTGAAACATCTAAGTAAAATCATAATATTTTTACGCAGACAATTTCCTTTTTTTCAAAGTCTGAAACATATTATTTAAAAAAAAATTCAAATATTTTCTTGGATGTTATTTTTTTCGATAATATCCCAGCCCTCCTCTGAATATCTAATTGTCGATCCCATGCATCAGCATACGGGTGCAGGTTTCCCATGGAACCATACTTTTTAAACGGGGGTTCAGTCTACTGACCCGTGAAGATCCGGGGTAGAGTAGGTCTTCAGCAACCCATGCTTGCCGTAAAAGGCGACTATGCTTGTCGTAAGAGGCGACTAACGTGATCGGTTGTCAGGCTCGCTTACTTGGTTGATGCATGTCATCGATCCCAATTGCGTGGATCGATGCTCATGATGTCAATCACTGGATTGTCTTTTCCAGACTCGATTATTACAGACCGCCGTCATATAGCTAGAATATTGCTGAGTGCGGCATTAAACAAACAAAACAAAAATCGTATTTTACTGTTATTTTGCAGGTCCCTTCAGTGTAGTCGCATCTCAATCCACAAGAATCTCGTCATGTCTTTCATATTCCGGTTCATCCTCATCATCATCATGATGGAGCCTTACATTTCCAAGAGGGACACGTCCTACAGGGATTTTGTAAGTGTTGTAGGCACCCTTTGTTTAATTTCAAGATAGTTGTCCATGGTTCAAAACCTCGTTCTGGATAAAAACGTATTTACGTCGCTTACAGCAATATGGCAAATTTGGTTCTGGGAACTAGGTATTAACGACACTTATATAAATATTACAAAACCTCGTTCTGGATAAAAACATATTTACGTCGCTTATAGCAATATGGCAAAACCTCGTTCAGGGAAACCAGGTATTAACGCCGCTTATAGCAATATGACAAAACCTCGTTTCGGGAAAGGAGGTATTTACGCCGCTTATAGCAATATTCAAGCCATATCACTGCGTAAAATTACAGGGCGGACTACTCCCTCCCCGACTCACTCACCATTAAAATAGTTCCACTTGTAACACATATGTTATTAGTGAAAGTACTTAAACCAAAAACCTTGGCAAAAATATAAAAAAAGTGTTCCTTTAGTTTCAGCAGAGATAGTTATATTTGAGAATATAATCTTAGTTGGCTAATATTTACAGTACTATTGCAGCGCTACTGTGTCCCGAATGGAGTAATTTCATGCACGTACCTTCAAGTAAAGATTGTATTTACTGAAAAAAACAAGTAACTGTTTCAAACTTTACTGCTTCAGGGTGGGACAGATTTCTGGTAAAGCAATTTTCAAAACTTTTATTTAAATAAACTCACTATACAATCTATGTAGAGTGGGAGAGATGTCAGCAATAGGAGGAGCGCTGTATCGATGTGTCCTGATGCTGAAGCAGTTCTTCATGTTAAAGTCATCCCTGTCAACATCCCTAGCATCCTCTCAATACGCTATTGAAGTAATTAAACAGTTTTTTCACCCGTTTCAATTTGTACCTTGTCCATTCAATTTGAAAAAATGGATATCACGTACAAAGGATTTTGTGAAAATAACCAGCCTTCTAAAGTTCTTATGTTACAAATCTCAGTCGTATGAGGAAATACCTAAATAAACTCTCTGTTGAAGTGGGAATGATTGACGAAAACGCCAAGATAAAAATCTAGAAAAAACAGAAGATAATCCAGAAAAAAACGTTCTACACGTTCGAATGTTTATATAAACCTAAAATACACCACACGAAGTCAGAACCTGTCTGAAACAGCAAAAACATACGCAATTTCTCTCATGCATGCATTGTTGTTCGGTAGTATCCCTCAATTATAGGTCGGGGAGGGGGAGGGGGTAGTACAAGGTAATTAGTACGTCATACCTTGCACGAGCCGACTGAAAACGGTATCGAATTGATACCACGCGTGTCCTTGTTTAAACAGCGTTGATTGTTCCTGTTATCGACCCCTGTTTTTTTGCCGGAACAATGCTAAAAACCACATTATACCTCACTCACGCACACGCACACGCACACGCACACGCACACACACGCACACACAAGATGTTAACTGTATGTTACAGTGTTACATTATATGTTTACGTATGTTACAGTGTTACACTATATGTTAACTTATGTTACAGTGTTACACTACATGATAACTGTATGCTACACTGTTACACTATATGTGAACTGTATGTCACACTGTTACACAATATGTTATCTGTATGTTACAATGTTAACTGTATGTTACACTATATTGTTAACTTATGTTACAGTGTTACACTATATGTTAACTGTGTATCACAGCGTTACACTATATGTTAACTGTATGTTACAGTTTTACACAATATATTAACTGTATATCACCCTGTTACACTAGATGTTAACTGTATGTTACACTGTTACACTATATGTTAACTGCAAGTTACACTGTTACAGGACTGGCTATGTAAGACGCTCACGGCGTTGAGGAAGTACACCATCGTGTCCAATTTCTTCTGGATGTTTGTGGAGGGCTTGTTTCTGCACAACAGGCTGGCGGTGTCTGTCTTCAGTACGGAGGCCCCCTTCACGCTCTTCTACGTCATAGGATGGGGTGAGTTGCACTGGTGTCAGTCTTCTGTAATAGGGGCGGTGGGGTAGCCTAGTGGTTAAGGCGTTCTCTCGTCACGCCGAAGCCCCGGGTTCGATTCCTAACATGGGTACAATGTGTAAAGCCTCTTTCTGGTGTCCACAGCCGTGATATTGCTGGAAATACTGTTAAAAGCGGCGTAAAACGGTTCTGTGATAGGATATCGTGAGTTGCGCTTGTGTCAGACGTCACGTCACAGGATGGGGAGTTGCACTGGAGTCAGTCTTCTACGTCATAGGATGGGGCGAGGTGCACTGGTGTCAATTTTCTACGTCACACAGCGTAGTGTGATCAATTGTTCAAGAAAATATACCACGTTGCACACGGTGACCACAGTAAACATATCCTGTATATATTGCAATGTGTACCTCATAGAAGGGTATATGGATGAGTTCAGCCTTACGTCAATGATGAGCTTTTAACATTGTACGTATGGGCGAGTTCGAACCCGGACCTTCGGCTTAACGAGCGAACGTTTTATCCCTAAATACATGCCGCCGCTTCTATATGATAACATAGTTGACCTATGTAAGGCGTTATAGAGCACCACGGTAATAAAACGTGCATTAAAATGATATGTCGGATCGGTGTGACTATTTAACGTTTTCTCCACCCACAGGTATCCCGGGGGTGATCACCCTGGTGTGGGCGTTGCTGATGCACTTCAACAACCACGACAGCTGCTGGGACAACCACAACCAGTCCACGCTCATCTTCATCATCTACGCCCCTATTCTAGTGACCCTTGTAGTAAGTACTGACCAGTGATGTCCCAAGCGCCCCCCCCCCCCAAGCTCTCGTGACCCTTATAGTCAATTCTGACCAGCGATGCCCCAAATTGCCCCCCACCCCCATCCCCACCCCCTCAAGCTCTAGTGACCCTTGTAGTAAGTACTGACCAGAGATACCCAAAGTTGCTCCATTTCAATGTGTGAATACAATGTGTGAATCCCTTTTCTGGTGTCCGCGCCGTGGTGTTGGAATAATGTTAAATGCGGCGAAAAACCTCACTCACTCACTCACTCACTCACTCACTCACTCACTCACTCACTCACGTATGGGCGAGACCAGCGATACCCCAAGTTGCCCCCCCCCCCCCCCGCAGCTCTAGTGACCCTTGTAGTAAGTACTGACCCGAGATACTCACTCACTCACTCACTCACTCACTCACTCACTCAAAAGTGGGCAAATGCTGCCTATCGCAGCGTCAGCAATAGTCCAGACACATCACCCAGCCGGTTAACAATCAAGTCAGGCAACAGTAACTGCACAGAAGGGTACAGATATGCGATGCGTCAGTTGAGAAAGAAGGGTACAGATATGTGTTGCGTCAGTTGAGAAAGAAGGGTACAGATATGCGTTGCGTCAGTTGAGAAAGAAGGGTACAGATATGCGATGCGTCAGTTAAGACAGAAGGGTACAGATATGCGATGCGTCAGTTAAGACAGAAGGGTACAGATATGCGATGCGTCAGTTGAGAAAGAAGGGTACAGATATGCGTTGCGTCAGTTGAGAAAGAAGGGTACAGATATGCGTTGCGTCAGTTGAGAAAGAAGGGTACAGATACGCGATGCATCAGTTCAGACAGAAGGGTACAGACATGCGATGCGTCAGTTAAGACAGAAGGGTACAGATATGCGTTGCGTCAGTTAAGACAGAAGGGTACAGATATGCGATGCGTCAGTTAAGACAGAAGGGTACAGATATGCGTTGCGTCAGTTAAGACAGAAGGGTACAGATATGCGATGCGTCAGTTAAGACAGAAGGGTACAGATACGCGATGCGTCAGTTAAAACAGAAGGGTACAGATATGCGATGCGTCAGTTGAGAAAGAAGGGTACAGATATGCGTTGCGTCAGTTAAGACAGAAGGGTAAATCTATGCGTGGCGTCAAAAGACCAGCACGCCTCTCCCCATACCAGTTTTACCCAACCATGTTTATCATATTTCATATCTTAATGATTAAATCGTTTTGCTTACCGTCCGGGCTCCATTTCAATGTGTGAATACAATGTGTGAATCCCTTTTCTGGTGTCCGCGCCGTGGTGTTGGAATAATGTTAAATGCGGCGAAAAACCTCACTCACTCACTCACTCACTCACTCACTCACTCACTCACTCACGTATGGGCGAGACCAGCGATACCCCAAGTTGCCCCCCCCCCCCCGCAGCTCTAGTGACCCTTGTAGTAAGTACTGACCCGAGATACTCACTCACTCACTCACTCACTCACTCACTCACTCAAAAGTGGGCAAATGCTGCCTATCGCAGCGTCAGCAATAGTCCAGACACATCACCCAGCCGGTTAACAATCAAGTCAGGCAACAGTAACTGCACAGATACATGCTTGGCATCAATTACTGCAGGATGACTACAAGTCTCCCCGTTGGATGCTGAACTGGTCATCGTTGGTCGCTCCATTAATCTTAGTGCGCTGTCTACTTCATATTACTGTATCCAATTAAAAGGAGAGAGTCGGGTCTCCAACTGTATGGATTTTATTGTCGTAGGGAGATTAAAGTGCGAGTCGTGGTGAAGAATGGAAAGTCACATATATGACTTTGCGTTGGCAGTTGAGAAAGAAGGGTACAGATATGCGATGCGTCAGTTAAGACAGAAGGGTACAGATATGCGATGCGTCAGTTAAGACAGAAGGGTACAGATATGCGATGCGTCAGTTAAGACAGAAGGGTACAGATATGCGATGCGTCAGTTGAGAAAGAAGGGTACAGATATGTGTTGCGTCAGTTGAGAAAGAAGGGTACAGATATGCGTTGCGTCAGTTGAGAAAGAAGGGTACAGATATGCGATGCGTCAGTTAAGACAGAAGGGTACAGATATGCGATGCGTCAGTTAAGACAGAAGGGTACAGATATGCGATGCGTCAGTTGAGAAAGAAGGGTACAGATATGCGTTGCGTCAGTTGAGAAAGAAGGGTACAGATATGCGTTGCGTCAGTTGAGAAAGAAGGGTACAGATACGCGATGCATCAGTTCAGACAGAAGGGTACAGACATGCGATGCGTCAGTTAAGACAGAAGGGTACAGATATGCGTTGCGTCAGTTAAGACAGAAGGGTACAGATATGCGATGCGTCAGTTAAGACAGAAGGGTACAGATATGCGTTGCGTCAGTTAAGACAGAAGGGTACAGATATGCGATGCGTCAGTTAAGACAGAAGGGTACAGATACGCGATGCGTCAGTTAAAACAGAAGGGTACAGATATGCGATGCGTCAGTTGAGAAAGAAGGGTACAGATATGCGTTGCGTCAGTTAAGACAGAAGGGTAAATCTATGCGTGGCGTCAAAAGACCAGCACGCCTCTCCCCATACCAGTTTTACCCAACCATGTTTATCATATTTCATATCTTAATGATTAAATCGTTTTGCTTACCGTCCGGGCTCCATTTCAATGTGTGAATACAATGTGTGAATCCCTTTTCTGGTGTCCGCGCCGTGGTGTTGGAATAATGTTAAATGCGGCGAAAAACCTCACTCACTCACTCACTCACTCACTCACTCACTCACTCACTCACGTATGGGCGAGACCAGCGATACCCCAAGTTGCCCCCCCCCCCCCCCCCCCCCCCCGCAGCTCTAGTGACCCTTGTAGTAAGTACTGACCCGAGATACTCACTCACTCACTCACTCACTCACTCACTCACTCAAAAGTGGGCAAATGCTGCCTATCGCAGCGTCAGCAATAGTCCAGACACATCACCCAGCCGGTTAACAATCAAGTCAGGCAAACCAACATCTATACACGGCATGCACCTGGCTACATGAAATGATTCGTATGACCGATCCTACCCCTAACTACCAACAGGGAATAATCTGTCGAGCGGCAAGCAAACCAGTGGGCGATAGTATGAGCACCACATAGGGCCCGCGTGAATGTCATCTGTTCAAGCACCTGCTGTAGACGTATCACATCTAGAAGTCTGGCACCAAATACACTTGACTTCAACAGCAATGATGTACTGTTGGCTCGTGATCGTCTATATAAACCCTAATTGCTTTCTTTCAGATTAACTGCGCTTTCCTTGTCAATATCATTCGTATCCTCATCACAAAACTACGGGCAAACAACACGATAGAAACTGTTAGGATAAGGTAAGAACACTTCTCTCAAATCTCCTGAATTCCTCACGTCTTCACGTGTCAAAGTCTAATGATGTTTCATAACGAAGTTCATGATTCAGATATGTGTTAATGCCTAGATGTGAGTACCAACGTGTATGTCCCTACTGCTCAATAACAACCAGCAGCTCATGTTAATTATTTACTTCACACGTATAAAATACACACGTAATAAAGGACCGCCTCCGTGGTCTAGAGGTAGAGCATCCGCCCGGAGAGAGGAAGGTCCGGGGTTCGATCCCCGGCCGCGTCATTTCAAAAGACGTTTCCCTGTCTGGCGCTCGGCATTAAGGGGCTAAAACAAGGACTGGTCGGCTCGGAGTCAGGATCCTGTGTCTGGGTTGGGTATTCATGTTAAACTGCGGCATGGTATCTCAGTTTGCTGCAAAATAAATCGGCGTCAGTCCGGACTAGTACAAGCAGCCACCCACCCATGTGCATACACGTCGCTATATAAGCGCAATAATCTTGGACGTTAAACCCAATTGTACCTCACCTCACTCCGAATAAAACATATACCACCAAAAAATGTTAAGGAACACCCGATTCTTTCATTTGACGAATCTGTCTCCCCATGACAGATTAATTATAGTCGTATGAAATAAAAGCGTGGTCCTTAAGCTTTTGGACCCGATTCTATCATATTACTTTCGTTAATTTGTCATCATATTGCTTTCGTCACGATATGGCTGAAATAATGCCGATGCGACGTTAAGTTATAACTCACTCACATTGCTTTAGTGTGTGTGGCTATTGCTATAGTTACTATGTCACCACTAGCTAGGGGGGCACGGGTGGACCAGTCGTCTAAGGCGCCGCAATTCGCTGTGCAGAGTTGCGTCCCTTGTTCACGCCAGAAACCTATGATTGTGGGTTCGAATCCCGGTTCGACCCGATTATGTTTCTAGGTTTGTCAGCACCATACCCGTGCTCGTGTGTTTCACCGAAGTGGTAAACGTCTGGGACCCGCATCACTTCGGGCTTTCCTCCCACATTAAGCTGACACGCCGTGATATAACTGGAATACTGTTAAAAACGGCGTTAAACATAACTCACTCACTCACTCCAATAGCTATAGTAATATGACAGAATCGGATGGTCCTTAACTTTCTTGGGAGTAGAAAACATGAAGAACGGCTCAATAATTTGTTCTGTTACCTCACACCTCTTTAATATCTTCCGCATATGGCTACTCTAATTCCTCGCACCTGTGCCCCCGAGAATCAAAACAAGCTTTCATGCTCCAAAATGTGCTTCTTCATTATAGAATTTTTTTTGAACTACAACCTTGTCAGCTGCTCCTCACGCCTATTTTAACGTACAGTTTTTTATTTAATTTCAGAAAAGCAATTAAGGCCACAGCCGTGCTCCTTCCCCTGTTGGGTATCATTAATATTTTATTTCTTCTGAAACCAGAGGAAAACGGGTCCCTCACTAAAGCCTATCGTGTTATAAACGCCGTTCTACCAGCTTGTCAGGTAAGAGTTACTCCCCTTGTCCCATGCTGCTTGCTCGACCAAAATTGGTAACTGAAGTTAAAAGTGGTTTATGGTCGAGGAATGAGGTGTTCCTTCACCAGGGATAAAATCAGAGGGCATTGGTTTATGTTCGAGGAATGAGGTGTTCTTTCACCAGGGATTAAATCAGAGGGCATTGGTTTATGTTCGAGAAATGAGTTGTTCTTTCACAGAGATTAAATCAGAGGGCATTGATTTATGTTCGAGAAATGAGTTGTTCTTTCACAGAGATTAAATCAGAGGGCATTTAAAGAGGGGGTTACGGTCGAGGAACGAAGTGTTCTTTGACCAGGGATTATATCAGAGGGCATTTAAAGAGGGCTTTGCGGTGGAGGAATGAGGTGTTCCCTCACCAGGGATTAAATCAGAGGGCATTTAAAGCGGGGTTTACGGTCGAGGAATGAGGTGTTCCTTCACAAGGGATTGAATCGGATAATATTGAAGTCAAATTGTCTATTTCCATGGATTTATTTTTTAAAATGCAAACAGATTCTTGGCAACATATTTATCTATATCGACAATTATAATTCCCGTATTAAAAAGCACGTACTTGGACTTATTTGTTAATTTTCTCTTGCAGGGTATTTTTATATCTCTCCTCTACTGCTTCATGAACAGTGAGGTAAGTGCCTTAATCCATTGTTTGTGGAGTAAGTCGCTATTCCATGCCTTCCTTACAATTTCTTTGGTGGTGATGATGATGATGGCGATGGTGACGATGATGATGAAGCGACAAAAGCTACCATAACCTTGTTTAGGAACCACTATCTAATAGTGATGATACAGATGTCCACGAAAAGGCGAGCGTATCCTGCCCAGCCGGTGGCACCCGTCACAAACACCTGCAAAGCCAAGTCAATTGTTCACCTGAAAAAATTCAATCCGGGAAAAAAAGGATTCTTGTGGCCCAGTGGTTTAAGTCGCATCACTGAGCCATAATTTAGACTTCCGGTATGCGAAAATAATCGAAATCAAAGTTGTACCAACAGTAAAATCTTTAGAATGCTTGCTTAGAAAAGATTAGCTGGATGTTGATCACAGTACACATGCGCACTCTGTCTTTCAGGTTCGTGGTGTGATAAAGAAGAAGTGGTACCGTTTCCGGTTGAGCCGATCGATGAATGTGCGCGCACGTAGACGCAACTCCCGGACATCGTCGTTCTTCCTGTCTCAAAGCGAGGTAGTGTTCATGGTCTCCTTCAGGAATAAAAAGATCTGGAACAAGCGCGCACCTGCAGCACGTGATTACACGATCACAGAGGCTGATAACAGCAACAGCATGCGATGCACGTGCTTGTGTGAGGAGTGTGACTGCTCTGATTGCTCGAAAAAGCACCAGTTTGACTAATGAAACACGCAGGCTTATATTAACTCTGTTGCTTCGTGTAGATCCTGTAGATACACACCCTATGTGGACTGCATATTGGACTCTTCCCCTCTCTCTCTCTCTCTCTCTCTCTTGCCATCCTGCTTGTGGACCTGCCACTGTAGGGATGACTGTGTGTGCAGCTGACGAAGTACGTCGTATATTTTATAGGTTTTGTGCTGATTCTTGTGTTTTGGGCTGAACAGTATTTTAATAAACTCGTTTTGGCTGTGAATATGTGAATGTGCCTGTCTTTGACCACACTAACACTGTCACACTGAATTTATTTACTGATACCACGTGATATCTTATTTGGATTATACTTTTGTATTTCTTTGATTTCTGTTCACTCTTGTAAAACTTCAATGAGACACCAAGGATATATTCTAAAAAAGCTCATTTTGGGAGGGTAAAGACTCTCTAAAATTGGACATTTTTGTTAATAGGTCAGGTGTTATTTTGAGGTTGGTAAACTGACAAATCATACTGAGTCGTATCGCATACGCTGATTCCCCACCACACTCTCACCCTTTCCCAACCACCACACACCACTACACACCACCCCACACCACCACACACCACTACACACCACCCCACACCACCACAAGCCTACACACACCACACACCACCACATCCCTACACACGCCACCACACTCACACCCTTTCCCAACCGCCACACACCACTACACACCACCCCACACCCCCACACGCCTACAAACACCACACACCACCACACGCCTTTACACGCCACCACACACCGTACACCTGCCCACACCACCACACGCCTACACACGCCACCACACACCACCACACGCCACCACACACCACCAGACACCATCACATAGCATCACACAACACCCCATACACCACTACACAACACAACACACCACACACTACCACAAAACGCCACACACCACCACTCTCAACCCCACACCACAACATTCACATCCTTTCGAAACAGCCACACACCACCACCCCACACTCAACCCCACACTCAAACCCACACCCCTCATTTTTCGTAACATACGAACCATTCATACATTCGGGAGTTTAAAGGTGATCTGAAAGTAAACGTACTATGGGTATATTTGGTGTTATATGTTCAACAAATTAGCACGATTACTAAAAGAAACTTGCCAAGTCACCGAACGCATCTCTCCTCTTCCAAACAGATGTATCCGTTCTTATATCGTTACTAAATTCGACATATTAAATGCATGCTTTTGGCATTGAACAATTCAAATTAGATCCACTGCATGTGAGATACTGAGTCTCAGGCCTTAGTTATACCAGCTTCACAATACACCGTGCACATGTATGGAATGACAAATAGAATACACGACACAGTTGAATCGTACAGATTCAAGATTCAGTGCCAGGAAGAAACAAGATGATCACGAATCAATCTCAGGATGTACAGAGTCCGAACCACAGAGCGACATGGGCGCTACGACACTCCCGGTGTACATTAACGTGTCTGAGTTACGCTACTTCAAGCTGGAATGAGACTGTGAAGGCTGCTTTGCGCTATTACAAAACCAACTACTGGCTTCTCTCCTTCCGCTTCCGTGTAGACGTCTTCCTATTTCTCCCATATATACTTTACACAAATAGTTAGGGATCATGAATATTTTGGGGGAACATTTCTTTGTAGTGAAAACTGAGCACGCAATTTGAAACAAATATTCCAAAAACTATTCATGATTCCTAACTTTCTTTAGTATATATACATCTTCGGTTATCCTAGGTGTTATGTATATTCTATGACGATAAGCACCCTTGACCAATTCCCTAACATAGACTCGTTTTGATTCCAATAGCAGACGCTAAAAATTGCATCCAATCTAATTAGTCTCACAAGAGAGAGAAATTCTGTGCTGAGTTAGCGATAGAAGCGACGTGACTTCCAAGACTAAGCTATGATAGCGAATGGGTCCAGGGTGTTTAACACAAGAGAATGGAAATATATTGCCCTGGATAGTCGAGGATGGGCTCGTTTTCCCCCTGCCACGATACTGTACGATTCACCGTTTTGTATATACTACTCAAAGTTTGATAAAGATAAAGAGATTTATCTCCCTTTACATAAAAATACTAAATTCTGATTGGTTAACGAGCTGGCAACATTTTTCAATGGAGCCCGCTCATGTACCACGCTGAGAAATCAATCGGAACAAACCTGAGGTTACTCGCTTCTCTTGCATAGTTATCGTTGAGCTCAAATGAACCCATGTTTATCCGATTGGGTAAAAGGAAGTAACTCGTTTGTTTGTGTCGTCTGCTAGCTGTCAAAATGGCTGAATCAAAGCGTTTTATTCAGCGAAACTTCGGACATTTATTCCAGGTCTGTATGAACGAATGTCGGTGCGATAAATTCGTTGTCCATCGATCCCTGGGGGTATATGTTGTGATGTACCCTGTGTGTAAGCCTGACGGCCCGGGGTACATAGGCTCACACACGGGGTACATCACAACATATACCCCGAGGGATCGGTTGACAACTTAATATGTCAGACATATTTAAATACACACTTGACATATTTTGAGAATCATTCTTTGATTCATGGAATAGATAAATATCCCAATCAAAAGTGGAGCAGTATAGTTTAACGTTAATTTGTTCAGATACTTTAAAGTTACCAAAAAATAGTACGTTGAACTGTATTTGAGAACTGATTAGTAATGAGTGCGTAGTACAGTAAACTACGTTTATAACGAACACGCTTATAACGAACTGACGGATATAACGAACTTATTTTTAATCCCAACCATTTGTTGTATATATGCTTTATGTATGCTTATAACGAACTACGGTTTTTGCGAACTAGAATAAGTGGTCCCCCCGAGTTCGTTATAACCGTAGTTTACTGTAATAGCTTTGGTGTAACATTTAGCATGTAACACAGAAGTGTACATTGAAACTCGGTGTACAAAACCAAATATGGTAGTACCAAGGTGAGGTACACATACGTCCGAGAAGTCTCGCTCAGCGTGGAGGTGAAAAGGGCGGTGGGAGAAGTCTAGTTATTAAAGTGTTTGCACGTCACGTCGTAAAGTTAGTATATATAATCTGTGGAACCCGTTCTTGGAGAAATTTCTGGGTGAATGCTAAAAGCGACGTCAAACCACGCTTCCTCGTTCATTTGGAATGGCAGCTGTGTTCAACAACCCTTTTAGATAAGACCTCATCTGAAAGGGAACACCCCTTCTGTTCTATACATTGGTTTGGCATCCTCGTTGTTGTATTGTTATTATTATTATTTTATTGTTATTTATTCTCTCCCTGCTCTCCTCGTGGTGACATACGAACTTTGATTGATAAGCGCTGAGTCTCACTGTAGGAATTGCGTAAAAGTGAAACCTTTGGTCGTGGACATCGCATGATGTCACAGAGGTATATCCACAAACACTTGAGTCAATTGAGCAAATTGTTTTCGCTGTGACAAATCAGTAAAATAAGTAGGGGTCTTTGAAAAATGGACAAACTTGGGGAACCTGCAGTGATTGAGTACTTGCAGAAAACAGCTCGTTCCTTTGTCACCATTAAGGCAGCCTAGAGTTTATCAACAACCTTCAATATATTAATCACATTCAAAAAGCTATATAACCGAAGTAGATAGTCTGTGACGTGTCATTCAGCATATAAAAGAACGTTTGTACTTATCTCTACATACCACATTTATCTCGATCATATTTCGTTTTTCTTCTGATTAATTTTTTTTTTATTTTTACAAAACGGGAGAATACAATTTGTGTTTTATTAAAAAATGGAAAATGTATCTGCACGATAAACCTAATTACGCCTGTGGCCTTTAGGTCTCTCAGAGGTCTCCTGCTTTCATCGTCAGTTTTCTCTTATCGGTTATCCGAAAATATCTTAATTCACAGAATATAGTAGCGGTGCTTGGGGACTGAAAACGTTATATGCGTAATATGTGATATATTTTCATATTTCATCGAGTCATTTTCATACAGTCGATACTCTTCGTGTTATATTGAAATGTTGAATGCTACTGTTAAGCCAGCCAAAATGATCGAAGTTGTTTCTAAATAGAAGAGAATTAAAAAAAAACACTTGGAGGCGATCTGATTATATTGCACAAATGGTTATATTGTTTTAACAATTACCCCTAGGGCAAAAGGCCTTCTCATCAACGTTCTAAAAAAACTCGTGGGTAGAGCATACAAATGTATACTTATCAAAATTGCTATAGATAATCTGTAATTAACATCTGCCATGACAGATTAACTATAGTAATATGAAAGAATCGGTTGGTCCTTAATTTCTTTTGACTAGTATATGATGGTGTTAGAATCCAACATCCTACATGATGAGAGTTGATCTTCATCAGATGAAAACCCGCCAAATACCACGTGGACTAACAAGACATTATACGCATAAACCTTTCAAGGAATCATAACACGAAACACAATTCTCGGCCTCGTGTGAAATCGTTATCATATGGACGTTCCTTGCTTTCTGACACCCACAATTTTATTGATCCATATTTCTCTTACATTATCCAGCGGGAGACCAACAGAAAGACAATACGGGTTGGCAACCGAAACCAACTCGTACTTATGACCGGAGTTTATAATCGAATATGTATTGATGAAATTTGTTGCAAATGGCGGCCGTCTATTTCCGACCGCAACTCCTTTCGACAGATCAACTATCCACTTGAGACTCCCCCAACTTCAGTTTATTTACTCTTTAAACTGTTGTACAAAGAGGAAATTAAACGAGGCACGAGAGACTGGCACTAGAAGGTGTATAATCGTTAGTTTTCCTAAGTAATACGTATGGATCTCAAGGGCCCGTCATGGTCTAGCATTGTGGAGCCAGCTGGAGTGTTTACTCGAGGTCGGATTGAAAGAGGTTTCATGACTCGGGCTGTCGTTCAAAGCTGACCAAACACTGGAGAGAACACACAAGGGGCCGGGAAAATGACAAGGCCTCTTCAAATTTAAGATGGAACGGGAAAATAGATTCAAAACAATGCCGTTTGTTCTTGTCAAGTATTTTGTTTCTACTTACATAATACAGTTAAGTTCTCTCGGTGTATATTTATTTCAGTTTGAAGGAAACACATGTTAAGACAATGTAATGATGAAGTCACCGTGGTTCACGGGGCAAAGGACTCAGAGACCACTTTCGCATGATACTCGGGTTGTGGAGTGTGTTGATGATGTTTACACACAATGATGACTTGTTTTCGAAACAACCTCCTCCTTTTCACCGATTTCTTTTAACAATTATTTTGGGTAGTTATTTCAGACTAAGGAAAATATAACTAGTCAATAATGAATTATATCTAGCTTGGATAAAGCTTCGGATCAAACTCGGGGAAATCACATCCCAAATGTCTGACGTTGATATTGTTTCAGCGGATGAACCATTACTTCCCAATGGTACCTCCGGCAGTTGATTGAGTGCCAATATCTGAGAACACGGTTCAGAACGATTTTTTCAGTTTTAGAAAAAAAACATATTTTGATTTGAAGATAATTCGAGATAACTAAGATATGACATAAGCCTGTGATTCGAGATAACTCTACAAGCATATAAGATGAGATGACTCGACACAAGCTTGTCATTCGGATTAAATCGACATAACCGTGCGATTCGGATTAACCCTACATAAGCATGTGGTACGGATTAACTCCACATAAGGATTTACTCCCTTATCGAATAATCAAATAGTCTTGTTTCGATTCCTCTAAGTTTCACATAGCTTCATTTTATGGAGAATGTCCTGAGTCTCTTAGTGGAAGACGACCACGTTATCCGCGTTGTTATCGACATCGACATCGGCGTCTCGTGTGGATTCCTGGTCAAAATATACCTCGTATACCATGCTTGTAAGAGTCGACTAACGAGCAGCAGGTGGTCGTCGTCGTCGTCGTCGTCGTCGTCGTCGTCATCATCATCATCATCATCATCATCATCATCATCATCATCATCGACCGCCTCTGTGGTGTAGAGGTAGAGCGTCCGCCCGGAGAGCGGAAGGTCCGGGGTTCGATCCCCGGCCGCGTCATACTAAAAGACGTTAAAAGATAGTACTTGTTGTTACCATGTCTAGCGCTCGGCATTAAGTGGCTAAAACAAGGACTGGTCGGCTCGGAGTCAGTATACTGTGTCTGAGTGGGGTATTCATGTTAAACTGCGGCGTGGTATCTCAGTGGGCTAGCACTATAAATCGGCATCAGTCCGGACTAGTACTAGCAGCCACACACACACGTGCATGCACGTCGCTATATAAGTGCAATAATCTTGGACGTGACGTTAAACCCAATTTCACCTCACCTCACCTCCATCATCATCATCATCATCATCATCATCATCATCTGTATCTTCACCACCACCATCGTCGCCACCACCACCACTATCATCTTCATTATCATCTCCTGTATCTTCAGTATCAACAAATATCACGATATGTTTCAGAAATATTAATCATCAGTGTCATGCATGAGTTTACTTTTTGTGTAACTATTTCAGAGTGCGACGTCCCCTCTCGGCAAGACGACGCCTGTCTGACGCTTTGTGCAGACTAGACCCACACCAGTAACCTGATCGCACAAAGTTACTTTGCATAAAAAAAACCGGTGACGCAGTGATTGGTCAAAGTCTCGCCGGTATCGACCAATCAGAAAAGAAAAGTTTTCTCATTGGCTACATTCACTTGGACTTGGACCCTCGGACTGATCAAAGATCTCCAGCTTCATGATCAGTCAGGAAAGCGTTCTGCTTCAAAACTGTGTCAAAGAATCTGTGATTGTTCTGGAGAAGACAAAGAAAACAGACTATGTTAACATATCGTTGATTTACACCTGGCACCCATGACACTGACATATATGGTCGCGCACTCTCAACTCTCAACCAAACAAGGAAGACAACCCTTGAGTGGTCGATCAGGTCCCGCTAGAAGCGCTCGTAAAATATTCAATATGATTTACGTGATACATTGGGGTGGGTGAAGGAGGCGACTGTTCGAAACATGTGGGACGGATACATAATACACGTGCTGACACAGCATAAACTTGGTTTCTGTTAACAAGACAGATTCAGTAATTACTAGTTTAAACACATCACCAGACACCTCTGTTCATTAACCAAGAATGTCGATTGACTGTGAGACACAGAGATGCTCAGAACATCCCTCTGCTCGTTGGCTTTGGCAAAGTGTTAAACGTCAAAAACCGGCATCGCTTCGGGATTTTCTCCCAGATTAAGCTGACACGCCGTGATATAACTGAAATAGTGTTCAAAGCAGCCTCAGATATACCATGTTTACTAATGGAGGAATCATGAGAATATGGTGATATTACTTCCAGAATCAGATTTTAGTGACTTCTCCGACTTCAACCATGGTATGGTTGATATTATGTCTCTATATTTTTGCATAATGATCTATAGCTGCATCAGTTTTACTTGTTTAAAATGCACGTTCAGAATGGCTGCAAAAGCGTGACGTAATGAATAATAGTTTACAATAACTCTTCCCCACATTGCGATGTAATCGCTGCAACTGAAAGTGTATGTGAAAATATGAGATCAACGATCGTCCTCGCACTAAGATCGCTTTGTGAAAAGGGGCCTGCCCAGCTAACCGAATCATTTGCATCAGTTACAGAAACACGACGTGTCTCATCAAAACTTCATGTGTTCATGTCGGCCACATATGTCATTCGGATTAAGTCGTGTCGCTCCGGAAACGAAATGTCATTCGGAGAAAGTCGTGTCGTTCCGGACAAGAGCTGAATTACAATCTTGAAATTAACAGAATCCTACGAAAGTCGACATAACAAGCGGGAAATAGAAGGTTAAGAAGCTATTTTGTCTCTGGATGTTTTGTCTACAATTATATCACAAAATTAAGAGGACACGAACTGTATAGATATAGATAAGTACCACAACATATTACATTTCTGCGCGGTTTTACGTACTGCCCATTGTTACGCTTCGTGCTTTCATTGGTTTGTTCGGTCACTCTTGAATATATATATATACCTTGGTTATTATCATCAATTGTTTCCATCATGATTTGATTGTAAATAAATGTAAAGCCAACACAAGATCAAAGGTAGTTATGTTTTAATTTCAGGTAATGTGTTTTTTTGTTTGGGGTGTTATTTTTGTTATTTGTGCAACACAAAAAGACATTTCTCTAACTGCGATCAGAACAGCCTCGGTTATCCACGATATGATATCGCCATTCTTTCTTTATAAATTGCGTGGACCTATTCGCTACTATACTTTCAAGTCTATTCCTTGTGACATAAATATCATTCCCAAATATGAGTGATACACCTGGAACTCACCTAAAATGGATAATTCTTTCAGATCACATTTAATTTCTAACGTCAACTATCACATGGTGAAAACTTTTTGTTTAAATTCCCACAGTATGCAAACTTTGTTCATCATCGACGCAAAAATGAAATAATTTGAGTTCAGTGTTTCATTGACTTACAGATGAGGCGCCGTTCGGAAGAAGGCCTCGATTGATATCATGGGCCTCGATCCACGTATTTGGGATACGATGACATGCATCAACCAAGTCAGCGAGCCTGATTACCCGATCCGTAGGATTCTGTTAGGACTCAGCTATATTCCAGCTATATGAAGGCAGTGTGTAAATAATCGAGTCTGGACCAGTCAATCCAGTGATTGATATCATGAGCCTCGATCCACGTATTTGGGATACGATGACATGCATCAACCAAGTCAGCGAGCCTGACCACCCGATCCCGTAAGTCGGGATTACTCACGCTTAAGACGAAGTACCGTCATGATCCCAACATATGCTGCTGCGTTTTGGAATGAATGTGTCGATATACATGTATGTGCAAGATAAATATTAAAATCATTATAATACAATTAAATTTTCGTTGTGTTCATTGAAATTCCTGCATTCTGATCAGCTGAATTGGTCACGTGTTATTGCATTCATTTCCCAATGAATGTAAAAACTTAAGCCACGCCCACCGAGGCGCACTACTTTTATTTCTGCGGAATGTCGGGGGATCCAAATGTTACAGTCGAGGGAATTCCCTTTCTGCTCACGTGTATCGTCATGCACAGGACATTTAGTGACATTCATGCATATTCATTGTCCAAACTACCCTTTGAAACCGAAGGTCGAGAATGAATGAAACAGCAAACTTTCAAGTCTTCGGGTTTCATTTCTAACTAGCATTTTTCCAACTATGTTTTCCCGTTTTCAGGGAACTAATGTTTGAATCTGGCGGAAACTGGCCATGTCATTTGAAACAGTCGCCTTCTCCCGGACATATTTCTTCCGGTTCGTTACAGTCTGACTGTTGCAGTTCTTCTCGCCTCTTGCCTTGATTGACAGGTCCTATGAACATTGTTTGGATCCTACGCTCCGTTGATTGGCTACTGACTGTGTAGGCGTGTCAAGTTATGTGCATAAATTAAACAATCACCTGATTCATGTCACGCCACAGTACGTATTCCTACACCTGGAATGTTTATCCCCAAGAATGGGTATAAAAACATGTGCGTTAATGGGATTCCAAATGCATTGTTTAGCATCGTGCTGACAACAACCACTCAGAAAAACTAAAACATTACGCAATTATTCAACGTTACGAAATGCCACGCCTGTCCGAAAATGAGCGTCTGCGAGCCATTGGTATGCTTGAAGCAGGATCGAGTCAACGTGATGTTGCAAGACAATTTAACGTCCACAGAAACAACATTTGGTGTTTATGACAACGTTGGCAACAGACGAATTCAGTCGAGACCATCTTCGGATTGGCAGGCCACGTAACCAATAATAGACAAGACAACTGGATTCGAACAACACACCATAGTAATCGATTTCAGCCAGCAACAGTGACTGCAAGAAGCATCCCTGGCCTACGACGAATATCTTCACAAACCGTACGTCGTCGCCTCAGATGTGCAGGGATTGTCGCCAGAAGACCCGCCAGACGTCCCATTTTGACAGGAAACCACCGTCAAGCACGTCTACAGTGGTGCAGACAGCATCTACGCTTGACGGCCATACAGTGGGGACAAGTTCTATTCACTGACGAGTTTCGTTTTCACCTCAATCACAGCGATGGACGGATTCGAGTGTACCGACGTCGAGGTGAACATTACCTCAATCATTGTGTTATGGAAGAAGATCGGTTCGGGGGCGGCAGCGTTATGGTATGGGGTGGGATTACAGCAAGACTGAGGACCCGTTTGATTGTGGTAGAGGGAAATCTCAATGGACAGCGCTACCGCGACGAGATCATCGCCCCTGTTCTACCGTTTTTGCGTCATGGTCATGGTTCAACATAACAACGCCCTGCCTCATATTGCTCGACTTTTTCAGGATTCTCTTCAACAAAACAACGTGAATGTCATCCCCTGGCCGGCTCGCTCCCCTGATCTCATCAATCGAGCACATGTGGGATGAGACGGATCGGCGCCTTCGACGTCAACCACATGTTCCACAGACACTCCAGGAACTTCGAAACATGCTCCAGCAGATATGGACAGATATCCCATAGGACTTTGTGCGACGCCTGGTCCATTCCATGAGACGAAGATGTGTTGTTTGCATCGCAACCAGAGGAGGACACACACGCTATTGATTTGTAAATAGACATTTTGGCATGTTCATCTTTTTTTTATGAAATCACGCATTTTCTGAAGTCAGTATGGCAAATTAAACAATTTGAACACAGAAGTCTTTTATCTGTTGCAAGCCGAATTGTTTCAGATTTGGTAAAAAAAACATAACTTTGCATTAAATCTTATTCAATGTCACAGGAACTTTTGTTGTTCAGTATATATACAACTGTTTTGGGATAAACTATTGTAGATAAAACATATTTTCGTTGTTGAATTTAAATTATAAGCATTGACTGTGTATTTTTTTCAGTTTGCGGATTCATACAGTTTGCACATCGGTTTTCGATTCATGCCTCAATGAACCGAAAGAAAAACATAATCATTTTTTAACAGTTAGTAAGTCTAATAACAATACAAGAAACTGAACTATAGGTCGATAAGTTGATTTGTATTCAGATTCAGGTGACATTCGACACTCTAACTGACAAAGCTGTTACACGACAATATCTTGACTCACAATGTTTCTGTCATCGACTGCTGTGATGAGATCACTGATTCTCTGCAAGCACATAACATGCACCCTGTCCGTGACACCAGTATGTCCACATGAAAAGCGTGCAACTACGTACTGTGTCGGCCTGTCCCCGTGCGGTGCGCCATCTGGTGGGACACGTGGTACTCTGATCAATTCGTTCTTGTGTTCCATTATTGTATGGCAATATGGCGCCGTGTACCGTACCTCCTACACTGCACGCTCTTGGGGCATTAGACAGAGGTATTGATAAGGGGTTTTATGTTATGAGTGAGTGAGTTGGGTTTAACGCCGCTTTTAACAGTATTCCAGTTATATCGCGGCGTGTCAGCTTAATGTGGGAGGAAAGCCCGAAGCGATGCAGGTCTCAGACGTTTACCACTTCGGTGAAACCCACGAGCATGGGTATGGTGCTGACAAACCTAGAAACATAATCGGGGCGAACCGGGATTCGAACCCACAATCATAGGTTTCTGGCGTGTCCAAGGGACGCAACTCTGCACAGCGAATCGCGGCGCCTTAGACGACTGGGCCACCCGTGCCCCCTTTTATGTTATGAAAGCGGGTGACATTGAGTGGGTGTGGTTCTATGCCACTTTTGGCCATTTCATGACTGGTGGCACTGACAATTGGCATCACTCATCAGCTTTTTAAAACAGAACCCGATCCTTCAACGTGACGGGCAAACGCTTTATCCACGAGGCTACCCTGTCGTCTCTGTGGGGTATGAAAAAATAGGGAAAATGGGAAGAATTGAATTTGATCGCATATCGCATCAGGTGTCGGCGATATTAGGGGATATCTCACGTCCCAGCCCCGGGAATTTGCATCAGAATTTGCACAGAGCGGTGTGTCCGTATCCCACGTGGCTTATGTGTGTTTGTTGTTTAACGCCCCAACAGGACATCTATACCATGGCGGCTGGTAAATAATCAAGTCTGGGCCAGACAAACCAGTGGTTGATAGCATGAAGAACGCTTACGTTACCGGGGCCGTATGCACGCTGGTGATATTATGTCCACGTCTGGAAAGACTACCCTATCAACCAGTGTTTTTCGCACGCAGTGGGTACTTGTGACTTACTTTGTCACGGAATCCCCGGTGCCATGTGGGAATCGAACCTCTGTGTAGCGACAGACTGACCATGCTACACCATCGCCCTACCAGTGTTGTTATAACCATTCATTTAAACGTAATTGTGGCATAAACATCGACCCTTCTCATGACCTGACGGACCCGTGAAGATTCGGGGTAGGATAGGTCTTCAGCTACCCATTCTTGCCATAAAAGGCGACTATGTTTGTCGCAAGAGGCGACTAACGGCATCGAGTGGTCAGACCCGCTGTCTTGGTTGATACATGTCATCCTATCCCAATTGCGGGATCGATGCTCATGGTGTCAATCACTGAATTGTCTGGTCCAGACTCGATTATTTATAGACCGCCTTCATACAGCTGAATATCAATATATGGGATATTGCTGAATATGGCGTTAAACAACAAACAAACAAACATGACCTGACGTATAACATGGTGGAAATAATCATTAATATTACGTTTTCGTTCTATACAGCTGACTCTCGTACACGTTTCAGTACAAGCAAGCGAGGAAGAGGTATCATGCTTTGGGTAAGTACTTCTCCATCTCAGGTTCTTCAACTTTGTCATCTCAAACAGGTGAGGTGAGGTGGAATGGAGTTTAACGTCGCGTCCAAGATTATAGCACTGTGTGTGGCTGTTTGTACTAGTCCGGACTGATGCTGATTTATAGTGCTAGCTCACTGAGATAGCATGCCGCAGTTTAACATGAATACCCCACTCAGACACAGTATACTGACTCCGAGCCGACCAGTCCTTGTTTTAGCCCCATTATGCCCATCGCCAGACAGGGTAACAACAAGTACCATCTTTTAACGTCTTTTGGTATGACGCGGCCTGGGATCGAAACCCGGACCTTCCGCTCTCCGGGCGGACGCTCTACTACTAGACCCCGGAGGCGGTCTCATCTCAAACAACATTTCGTATGAAGCGGTGAAGTTCAGGATGGCGAAAACTAAAGCTACATCATTCCACAATTTGACACACATGAGTTTTCAATTGATGAGATTGTGAGTAAGTTCTGTTTAGTATTCCAGTTACACCACGGCGTGTCAGCTTGATGAAGAAAAATACCGAAGTGATACAGGCCTCAGACGTCTACCACCTTGGTGAAACCCCCACTGGTATGGTAATGACAAACCTAGAAGCATGATCAGAGCGAACCGGGATTCGAACCCACGATAATAGGATCCTGGCATGCCTAAGCGACGAAACTCAAAGCGAATTTCGGCGCCTTAGACGACTGGGCCTCCCGTGTGCCCCGTCCATTCATGAATGCATGTTTTCAGCCAGCATGTATATGTCAGCGAGAGATTGTCACGTATGTGCGTTTGTTGACAAAATTGCCAACGAGAGATTGTCACGTGTGTGCGTTTGTTGACAAAATTGCCAACGAGAGATTGTCACGTGTGTGCGTTTGTTGACAAAATTGTCAGCGAGAGATTGTCACGTGTGTGCGTTTGTTGACAAAATTGTCAGCGAGAGATTGTCACGTGTATGGGTTTGATGACAAAATTGCCAGCGAGAGATTGTCACGTGTGTGCGTTTGATGACAAAATTGCCAGCGAGAGATTGTCACGTGTGTGCGTTTGATGACAAAATTGCCAGCGAGAGATTGTCACGTGTGTGCGTTTGATGACAAAATTGCCAGCGAGAGATTGTCACGTGTGTGCGTTTGTTGAAAACCTGATGACGCGAGCCGCCGCGCCTTCTAGAGACCACGTTTATGGAGGTAACAGCTGTTGCACTCCAACATAACTCTATTCTGTCGTGCGAAATCAATGACATATGAATAACGAGTCGCCATCTTTGTGAAGTATACGGTAAACTAAAGAATCTATACTTTAAATGTTCAATAGACACACGAGCGCTATGAGCGGGATGGACATATGTGATATGCTTTAATGAGAACCTGCATCTTCGCCTGGGACCTTGAAGCCCTGCACTGCCGAATAACATACACCTGTACGTGATCACATTTGAAAGCATTACGCGGTATGTTACTGAGATCAGTTGGTGAATGAAGAATTTCAATTAACATCTGTTGTCCTAAATTACGCATGTGTTGTTAGCCGCTATGTGAAAACAGCGGGACCGTTAATTCGAGTTTGAAGCTGAAGTTTTGATAGCGTGTTTCCGTTATATTGAATTTTCAAGATGGCGATTTCGGGAAGATTGTTGTACCTGGTGATCCTGCCACTACTGTTGTCGGCCATTGTCCTGGGGGTCATGCTTAGCGTCGCGAGCAACGTGTGGGACTCAGTGCTTGGGAGAGACGCGCGTGAGAGAAGATTCCTGGAGTATCAGCGGAGTGCTGGTGGTAGAACAGGCCCGGGGGAGCAGGGGGTCCCGTACCACCCCCCGGGGAATACATTCAAAAACAAGGGAGTAGTGAACCTTCTGGCGAGTGACACCATTGCTGTGGACCGAACCATTAAGGACTTCCGGCATGAGAGGTGAGATAAACTGTATTACCCACGGGCTGAAGAAGAGGGATGGTGACATATACGTCATGTGTGTCATGCAACGTTGACCTCCTTTTATTCCAGTTGATTGGATAACCGTGACCTCGCTAAAGTCAGACATGAAAACTCATGCTGGAACGTGTTTGGTCATTCATAACATAAAAATAAACTTCTTCGAGACAAACACAGTGACTTTATTACATCAGAGAAGCACGACACATACTTCAAATTTGCTCTGCATTCTAATTTTGTTGTGCATAGATGTACTACAAGCTTAAGACAATCGAGATTCACCCGTTTGCCATGTACAGATACACTATATGTACAGACAGGTGGGGGGTCTCTTAGAATGGTTCCCTGGGTATGCTGCGCTGGCGCTGCACTGACCGCCTTTGACTGCACAATGGCGGCCTCCACTAGACAAACAAATATGGCGGGTCTCTTGGTCAATGCTTGTGAGACACCAACCACTTTCAGCTTTAAATCTGAGTTAGTGAGTATGGTTTTACTCCGCTTCTAGCAAAAATTCCAGCAATATCACGGCGGGGGACACCGGAAATGGCCTTCACACATTGTACCCATGTCGGGAATCGACCCCGGGTCTTCGGCGTGACGAGCGAACGCTTTAACCACTAGGCTACCCGACCAGGGCTTTTAAATCTGATATAATGCAATAAGTTCAGTGTGGTGAAATGAAGTCGGTTTAATATTTTGTGGCACAGTTTCCGGACGTGTTTGTGTATGAATGAACGTACACCTCGCACTGTCAGATCACTCAAACTGAAAAGTCCCTGTACAAATGATACGAAAACCCCGTGGAGCTCAATCTCATTAAAATCAGATCTGAGTTCTCGCTACCGCTGAACAAAGATCTGAGGACATACCATTGCGGGTCACGTCAGACCGACCTTTCGCGAACTTTGACCGACTGACAAGAAGTCGACATTAGCCAATCAGAAGGCAGCTTTCTCGTGTTTAACGGCACTAATTTTTAAATTGGCGACAACCCTTCGATGCATATTTTGACAAATTCTCGATTAAAACTTTAAAACCTGAACAAAAGACCATTCTGGAATGTCGTTGAGTCCGTAACTATCGTTCGGAATACCCCGTGTTAAAGTTTTCAAGGTTGCATGATCAGAAATCACATTCCGACTGCCTCTTTCATGATCTGGTAAGCGACGCTCTGATTGATCGGATGAAAGGTCGTTCTGACATGACCCGTAATGGGATGTCCTCAGATCTTTGTTTAGCGGTAGCGAGAACTAAGGTCTGATTTTAATGAGATTGCCGTGGAATGCCTGGCTTCTGATTGTGTGGCCCCAAACATCCAGAATGTGAACAATGACATGCCGTATTGATCACTAGCGTAAAACGTGCAGATCACGGTTGTCTTTTCCTATTCTGATGTGACCTTGCCCTTTGAAGCTGACACTAAATATCCAATCAGACGAGTTTGTTTACACTTCCTTCAGTATGGGTCGTACAGTAAACAAGGACTTCATTAGCGAACATTCTGATTTTCCTTTACCAAAATGGTAGGGACAGGATGTAAATTCATCTGATAGATCAAAGACACCGAACTGCTTTGATTGCACAGCGGGGATACTGGTAGTGCGAGTGTCCGACTGTAGGCTGTAGGTCCGAAATTCAAAGAGTGGCCTTGATTGACTTTTAACTGCTCTGCTCACTAACAACTCAGCGATAAATTACCATTAGCAGAAGACATTCCAAAATAATGATTTATGCTGTCATGTTTGCACACACAACAGTAGGAACACTCTACTGAGGCGTATGCATAGAAATGTCAACATTGCCAATATTTGGTAAATATCAATATTCATACGCAATCGGATTTGGGACCGGTTATAGGAATTGTTATAGGAACCAAAACTGTTATTTGTTTTCATTTTAATACACATTTAACGCGAGTAATAAATAACATTCCACATTCATTCTCGTTAGATACCATTTTTACATGAACTCGTGAACGTTCACTGGTAAACTTACTAAAGGTGTTATATAGTTACACTTAAATGCATTATTAACGTGGAGATTTAATAATTCACTGCTTAAAAAACACATATTTTTCTCTGAACATATTTTTTTCCCCGCAACACATTTTCTTCAGAACATCTTCAGAAAAGAATTTCAAGTATTTTATAACCCAACTCTTTCCGATATCCATATCAATTGATCAGTTCTCATAAACTTCCCAGGGGCGGTCGGGTAGCCTAGTGGTTAAAGCGTTCGCTCGTCACGACGAAGACCCGGGTTCGATTCCCGACATGGGTACAATGTGTGAAGCCCATTTCTGGTGTCCCCCGCCGTGATATTGCTGGAATATTGCTAAAAGCGGCGTAAAACCATACTCACTCACTCACTCACTCATAAACTTCCCGGCAAAAGAAAGTATGTGCACCCATGTTTGATGGTGGCTAAAAATGAAACAAACAAGAAATGGTTATTTCGATGGTGATGTATTTGATACGGTTGTCATGGTTGTGTTTTGGACCTTAAGTTTGCAGTGTTTTAGCGACTGTTTTGAGCCTTGTAACGTTTTGATAACTTTTGTAATGTTTTGGTCAAATCTAATTTTCAAGTATATACTTTCTTTTGCCCGGCAGTTATATCAGTAGATGTACTTGATACTTTAGGTGTACCTCTTTCATCTTCCATTAAAGCTGCATGGTGCTGAGGTACACAGCACTTCCTTCTGCTAGCGTCATCATCGCCTACGACGTTGAAGCCTTCTCCGTGTTGATGCGAACTCTGCACAGCGTTGTCAACAGGTCACCCCCTCGTTACCTGAAGGAGGTCCTGCTTGTCCCGTTTGGTAAAACTGCAGGTGAGCAACGGACAACGCACCGAGTCAGTGAGTGAGTGAGGTTCTACGCCGCATTAGCAATATTACAGCAATATCACGGCAAGAATGGACGTCACACTTTGAACCAAGGTGAACCGACGTTATCAAAGTCCCCTGCGAACGCGACGTCTTCACGCATGCGCAGTGGCAGTCGAACATACGGGTTAATGTGAGCAACGAATTGTAGACCTCACACGTTTGGTATTCCCTAGACTGGGCAAGCGAGTGTGACGCCGGGGAACCGCGGACAACTTGTTTTACTATGTACTATTATACTAACGAAACGTATAAGGTTATAGTTTAAACGTGATTGTGTACAGAACTGAAGCAGGAAAGTCAAGCTCGCAGTGAATGGATTCGCAGGCCTCAATGGCAGTTGTTATCACATACTACTTCTGAATTTGAAACCGTCAAAGAAAATATTTGTATAGATATACGATGTAAAACATCCCAAAAACGACGTTAATATTTTTCTACGTCAACGCACCTTGCAGTTTCTGGCTTCTCATGTGTTACTGCAGTATATCAACATTATTTTCAACACCCTATTTTGGTTAATTTCCCGTTTTATGAAGCTCAATGTTCACACAATGATGGCGATTAACGCCGCACTCAGTAATGTGTAAGCTAAGTAATGTCGGTCTGTAAATAACCGTGTCTCTACCAGACAATCCAGTGATTGACATCATGCTCATCGATCCACGAAATAAGGATACGATGACATCAACCAACCGAGCCTGACCTTCCGATCTATCAAGTTCCGACAAGCATAGATTGCTGGGAGCCTATATTCTTACCAGCAATCCTGTGGGTGTAAGCCATATGATTTTAGAAACTTTGATAACACTACTGACCTCATCACTGTCTTCTTTACACAGGGTTAGAAGAAATCACCACTGCCATACACAAGACCTGGCCAGAGGGTCCAGTGAGAGTTATCTCCCGTAACGACCTTCACGGACTTTATGAGGCTCGATCACAAGGAGCGGAGGAAGCCACAGGAGACGTCTTGGTGTTTCTAGACCCACACTGCGAGGCGGGAGATGGATGGTAATGAATTATCGTCGCGGTTTCCTTTTCTGGAGAAGCATTTATTGTTCCTCAGAATTCAAATCGAATCGCGAAAGACAGATCTTGTTTCAGATGCCCCCAACGCCAATTCTCATGTTGTTTATGTTCAAATGAATACAATATACGTAGTGTTGCACTTGGAATATTGTTGAGTTGAGTAAAATTTAACGTCGCAAGTTACCCCGGGGGAGTGAGTGAGTTGGATTTTACGCCGCTTTTAGCAATATTCGAACAATGTCGCGGCGGGGGACACCATTTGAAGATCCGAGGCGTGTATTTCACCTTGACCCTGCACACGAGGCCTAACATGTAATTTAAAGAAACGTTAAATATGTCTACAAATACTTTTTCGAGATTCGATTTTCCAAGAAAGAGTGAGTGAGTATGATTTTGCGGCGCTTTTAGTAATATTCCAGCAATATCACGACGGAGAAACCAGAAATGGGCTTCACGCATTCTACCCATGTGGGGAATCGAGCCATCGGCATGGCGAGCGGTCGCTTTAACCTCCTCCAAGCAAATAGTTGACAGTTAGAGTGTCATAGAGTGAACTAACGACGTTCTATAAAAGCAGCGATAATGGGAGATCTTTTGTCTGATTGTGTTGCAGGCTCGAACCTCTTCTCGAGGCGATCAGTCGTCACCCGAACATAGTCGCGGTTCCAGTGGAGGACGTGATAGCTACCGACACCCTTGAGCACACGGAAACAGCAACCGAGCGAACGGGGGGCATCTTTTGGAAGCTCACAATGTCGTGGAGACCTCTGTCGGAAGCTGAAAAGAAAGACCGGAAGTCACCCATAGAACCCATTAAGTAATATTCAAATTCCCTTCCCTTTCATCAACACTGTCCAAATTTCATGTGTGTTTCCAAATCTCATTGAGACCGGAAGTCACCCATAGAACCATAGTAACATTCGAATTACCTCCCCTTATATCAAGCTTGTCCGATTTTCATCCGTGATTCCAAATCTCATGGAGACATCTGTCGGAAGCCTAAAAGAAAGGTCGGGATAATATGTCATGGGACGATGGGTCAGTATGGGTTCTGCATATGACCTGTGGTTGCCTGTAACGATAATACCCACTGGTGACTAGCTGATTTAGTGTGCAATGCTTGCCCTGCATATCTCGCTGTCTTGTCTGTCCCAAAGAAGATTTGACGTTGAGGGCCACCGTTACATATAGAACAGTGTGTTAATGCATCCTTAATAATTAGTCTCTTATTTATAACAAGACCCTTTGAATATCCGAAATAGAATTAATCTTCAGCAACCCATGCACCGTAAGAGGCGAGTATGCTTGTCGTAGGAGGCGACTATGCTTGTCGGAAGAGGCGACTATGCTTGTCGTAGGAGGCGACTATGCTTGTCGTAAGAGGCGACTATGGCTGTCGTAAGAGGCGACTATGCCTGTCATAAGGAGCGAGTATGCTTGTCGTAGGAGGCGACTATGCTTGTCGGAAGAGGCGACTATGCTTGTCGGAAGAGGCGACTATGCTTATCGTAAGAGGCGACTATGTTTGTCGTAAGAGGCGACTATGCTTGTCGGAAGAGGCGATTATGCTTGTCGTAAGAGGCGACTATGCTTGTCGGAAGAGGCGACTATGCTTGTCGTAAGAGGCGACTATGCTTGTCGGAAGAGGCGACTGTGCTTGTCGTAGGAGGCGACTATGCTTGTCGGAAGAGGCGACTATTCTTGTCGTAAGAGGCGACTTTGCTTGTCGGAAGAGGCGACTATGCTTGTCGGAAGAGGCGACTATGCTTGTCGGAAGAGGCGACTAACGGGATCGGGTGGTCAGTCGACAAGACGGATTTAGTAGTTGTTCATGTTATCAACCTCTGGTTTGCCTGGCTTTGTGGGCCTCATGTTTGTCCGACTAGGGGTTTAACCATGGACCATTGCTACTGCGCTCGAATACGAAAAGAGACATGGCATAGGTGTAATAATGTTGAAACGCCATTCACCCGTCACCTCATTCTGAATGAGTGAGTGAGTATGGTTTTACGCCGCTTTTAGCAATATTCCAGCAATATCACGGCGGGGGACACCAGAAATGGGCTACACACATTGTACCCATGTCGGGAATCGAACCCGGATCTTCGGCGAGACGAGCGAACGCTTTAACCACTAGGCTACCCGACCGCCCCGATTTTCTGAATGAAGATGTATGTGTGAAGCCTATTTCTTGTGTCTTCGGTCGTGATAATCCTAGAATATTGCTGAAAGCGGCGTAAAACAATTCTCACTCACTCAATGTTACGAGAACGGCCACACTGGGGATTTTATTGTTTGTTTGTTTGTTGTTTAACGCCGCACTCAGCAATATTCCGCATTCCAGCTATATGACGGCGGTCTGTAAATAATCGACGCTGGACCAGATATAGTGATTGACATCGTGAGCATCAATCCACGTATTTGGGATACGCTGACATGCATCAAGCAATTCAGCGAGCCTGACCACCCGACCCCGTTAGTCGCCTCTTACGACAAGCATTATCGCCTTTTACGGCAAGCATGGGTTGTTGAAGACCTATTCTTCTCAGGATCTTTACGGGTCCTGGGGATTTTAAACCTTAACAAATCATAGTCTAAAATAATACTAATAGTTCCTGTTGCACTATCAATAGCTATAACACAGATATTAACGGTTCACGTATTAGATGAGCCGTCTTATAGAAGATGGCCCTAGTTAATCAGATAATCAGGCCAGAGTTAAGTCTCTTTACACGGACGTGTGGTAGTGATCGACAGCGCAGATGGTCAAAGTAAGGAATAGAAAATTAAACACGTTATCTTTTCAGGTGCTCGCACTTTATTTTCCTTTATCAAATAACCCAAGACACGTTCAGTTAAAAAATACATTTTTTTGCCGTCTTCTAGAACACCTGTGATGTCTGGCGATGCGTTTGCTATGGCAGCCAAGTTCTACAAGTCACTTGGCGGCTTTCGGTCCGAGATGCGCACGCGCGGCGTGGAGCTGGAGTTCTCCTTTAAGGTATAGCCACAGTTAAAGGCACTCGTGACACAGATGTAATTTAATGATTTGTTTAATTATGTATTATTAATTTATTTATTTATTCAATTCACAAAACAATCATTCTTTCTGAAAAATGTTAGAAATACTTCGAGTGAGTGAATGTTGTTTTCCGTTTTTCAGCCAATACTCACACAGTGTCCTTGGTCACCCGGGTTCGAATCCCAGTTTCACTGTTGATGTCCTTGGTTTGCCAACCCCAAATTCCTATCCATGTTTGTTTCATTTACCTCTGATTGCGTTACTCAGAACCTCCACTCACTCAATCACTCACTCACTCACTCACTCACTCACTATAATGGTGTATGTTACAGACATGGATGTGTGGGGGCTTCCTGCTCATATACCCCTGTTCACGGGTGGCACATCTGGCGCATGCGCCGGACGCATATAATAAACGTAGGTACACCCTCTGTGTTTTATTTGTTGATGATACTTGGCAGTAAATTTGAATATCACAGGTTTGGATACGATACTATGTGTGCCTTGTTCACGGTAACTCTTCGTGAGTTCAAACTGTTCAAAGCGACGTTACGATCATTCACTCGCTTGACTTGCCTTTGCATGTGTTTGTGACGTTGTCACCTGGTATCATCACTTTTTGACACATGCTTATGATACAATCGGAATCGTACAATGGACTCCGCTTTCAGCAGAGATTTCTTATGATTGTGTAAAAAGTTTTGCTTTGTTTACTTGCGTGATTGCTATGTTTTAGATACATAAAATAATCTTGAAGATCTTAACCATCTTTGTTCATACCATTTTATGTACTTTAAATGAGCACCGAGAAATATTGTATCTAGAAATTTCAACACACTGAAACGCGGGATGTTTTGCGGGTGTTCCAGTGAGCACAGAGACGGAGGAGAAGGCGTTGATACAGTTGGCGGAGGTGTGGATGGACGAGTACCGACGGCTCTTCTACATGTACCGGAAGTACATACTAGTGAGTAGGACCCCTGCATGTACCTGTTACGTACCTGATACGAACCATGGACTTTCTGTCCACTTGACCAAATTGACAATGTATGGATGTAAATACTGGTGAATAGGGTTCCACCATGTACCGGAAGCATAGACTGACGAATAGGGCCAAAATATGTACCGGAAGTACATCTTGGTGAATAGAGCCCCAACATGCACCGGAAGTATATCCTGGTGAATAGAGCCCCAAAATGCACCGGAAGTACATCCTGGTGAATAGAGCCCCGACATGCACCGGAAGTATATCTTGGTGAATAGAGCTCCGACATGCACCGGAAGTACATCCTGGTGAATAGAGCCCCGACATGCACCGGACGTACATCCTGGTGAATAGAGCCCCCAAATGCACCGGAAGTACACCCTGGTGAATAGAGCCCCCACATGCACCGGAAGTACATCCTGGTGAATAGAGCCCCACTATGAACCGGAAGTACATCCTTGTGAATAGACCCCAAACATGCACCGGAGGTACATCCTAGTGAATAGAGCCCAACATGCACCGGAAGTACATCCTGGTGAATAGAGCCCCCACATGCACCGGAAGTACATCCTGGTGAAAGGGCCCAACATGCACCGGATGTACACCCTGGTGAATAGAGCCCCACTATGAACCGGAAGTACATCCTGTTGAAAGGGCCCCAATATGCACCACTTGTGAATAGGGGCCCTATATTAACCTGACGTACATCCTCCGAGTGGGCTTTGAGTTTAATGTAAAAGAACGTCCTCTCGTTCGGTTGCTAAAAGTGACACAGTGCAGGTGTACCTATCGTATGTTTCTAGTCACAGCCGTATGGGGGAGACTTCGCCCAGGAGCATCTGCTGCCGACACGCCAGAAGTGCAACAGCTTCGGCTGGTACATCGACTACGTCTACCCAGAGAAGTTCATGCCGGATGAGAACGTGTATGCGTGGGGTGTCGTAAGTACTTTGTTTGATTGTGGTGTAGTTGCTGATCGCGGTGTAGTTGTTGAATGAGGTGTTGCTGATCGCCGTGGATTTGTTGATTGTGGTGTAGGTCTTGATTGCGGTGTAGTTGCTGATCGCGGTGTAGTTGTTGAATGGGGTGTTGCTGATCGCGGTGTAGTTGTTGAATGGGGTGTTGCTGATCGCGGAGGAGTTGCTGATAGTGGTGTAGGTCTTGATTCCGGTGTAGTTGCTGACCGCGGTGTAGTTGTTGAATGGGGTGTTGCTGATAGCGGTGTAGGTCTTGATTGCGGTGTAGTTGCTGATCGCGGTGTAGTTGTTGAATGGGGTGTTGCTGATCGCGGTGTAGTTGTTGAATGGGGTGTTGCTGATCGCGGAGGAGTTGCTGATAGTGGTGTAGGTCTTGATTCCGGTGTAGTTGCTGACCGCGGTGTAGTTGTTGAATGGGGTGTTGCTGATAGCGGTGTAGGTCTTGATTGCGGTGTAGTTTCTGATCGGGGTGTAGGTGTAGATTGTGGTGCAGTTGCTTGTGGTGCTTAATGATGACGGTTTTGCCTTTTGCGACGAAGTTGCTGATGGCCGTGTAGGTATTGATTGCGGCGTTGCTGATGACGGTGTTGGTATTGATTGCGGCGTTGCTGATGGGAGTGTAGGTATTGATTGCGGCGTTTCTGATGGCTGTGTGTGTGTGTCATCCCCAGGTACGGAACCCCGTCACCAACATGTGCTTGTCAATACCTGGCACCAAGACCACGGAGCTGCCAAGATTAGGGGACGCCGTGTCAAAGGTCAAATGTGACCACAGCGGGAACATGGACCAGGTAGGTGTAGCATATACTGTTCGACGTATCATAGGGATACTGAATTATGTTCGGGCTGTTCACACATACATGATTCAAATAATATGCCGGATACAAAAGAAATGTCCTTATCAAAAATAGATAGAGTGGAATACCTCGAGCCAAAGTCGTCACTGTTTACAGATTGTCTCAGTAAATCCATAGTGTCTAAATATATCCATAGTGTCCGACTGAAGACCGCCCCCGTGGTCAGTGCGGAAGCTCGGAGTTCGATCTCCGGTCGCGTCATACCAAAAGACGTTAAAATATGGCACTTGTTGTTACCCTGCCTGGCACCTGGTATTAAGGGTTTAAAACAAGGACTAAGTTAAACTGCGGCATTGTATTTTAGTGAGTTAGCACTATAAAACTGTCATTAGTCTGGACTAGTACAAGCAGCCACACACACGCGCGCGCTTCATTAGACAAATAGTTTCAGCACTTGGATCTGCATCTTCCCGAGGCAAGCGAGTCAACTGACTTTAAAGGTCCAGTTTCCACCCTTGCCGAACTAGGCTGGAATAACTGGGCTCTATTGTAGCGCCACCATTGGCTATTACCAGTTATGTCCCTTCTAAGCCTCTCCTATGGACCAATCAGATTCCACCTCTCGTATCACTTGCGTTTGCTTCACACAAAATGGTGGCGCCCGGTCAGGACGATCTGATCGATAATCAAGATCTATATTGTGATAAAACGGGTCTGACATCGCGAAATGCATCAAATCACTCGAGCACCTTGATTAAAAACATGAACAGATTTGGAAAATATCTGCTGACAACGAGTTGACGGTGCACATGCTTTGCAAATCCTGCAATCGACCGAAATCTGCTTGACAGTTTACGAACCGGATTTCGATTTCGGTGCACGATTGTGATTGGACTATGCATGGACTCGTTTGTCCAGCCAAAATGTAACTCCATAATACCAGCCTAGTTCGGCAAGGGTGGAAACTGGACTTTTATAGTCAGTTAACTCTCTTGCCTCGGGAAGATGTTGGATCTGTCGCATTCATGTTCAGTTTGAATTAAAACACACACAATTATTTCACGTTTCAATATGTCCCCCTTTGATTTCTGGATCGAGTATGGTGTATTCTTAATCAATATGCGCTATGACATTGGACGAGAACACTTCAGTATTTCTACAACAGATCATGGGGCCTTGTGAAACAGAATAGTCACACATATTATTGATAAGATAATATTATTGATGGATAATAGCGTTATATTTGCTGAAGTGGTCACAAATAAGGAACAGTTATTGTTGAGCTGAAACAGGATTTTACTGCCGCTTCTAAGATTAATTTGAACTGAGACTTGAGCTTGCGATACGATATTCTGAATTTTATTTTAAAGCGCTCAATGTGTACATGCAGTGTCACTCAGCCGCGATATGATCCGTTGACCGTGGGTACGAATCCCTGATTTACTACAAATAATTAACCTTAGTTGCCAGCACCCTACCTGTGCTCTTGAGTTTCACAGTCAACCTATAAGTCAGTTTGATTTTTCATCTCACACTGGGGGGCCCAGTCGTCTAAGGCGCCGCGATTCGCAGTGCAGAGTTACGTCCCTTGGTCATGCCAGAAACCTATGTTTGTGGGTTCGCATCCCGGTTCGCCCATGTCCGTGCTCGTGGGTTTCACCAAAGTAGTAAACGTCTGAGACCTGCATCACTTCGGGCTTTCCTCCCACATTAAGCTGACACGCCGTGAATATTGTTAAAAGCGGCGTTAAACCCAACTCACTCACTCATCCCACACTGCGATGATCCCACGGGGATTACGGGTAGGCGAGGTCCCCAGCAACGTGTGCCTGTCATAAGAGGCGACTCAATGGATCGGTTGTCGGGTTCGTTGACGTGGTTGATTGCGGGGCGTTGTACTCCGACGTGACGACGCTATAATATCAATCAGTGGTTAACTGTTCCACACTCGATAATTTACAGGCTGTCATCCTATAGTTATAATACTGCTAAGTGCGGCGTAAAACAACATACCAAACATTAAGCTGACGCGCCTTTGTGTAACTGCATGTGTCTATTTAAAGCGACCTTTTATTCGGGCTAGTAGAAGTTCATGAGTATTGTCTATCCCTGTAAAATGTATATATTGACTCCTTAAATCACTTACCAGTGGGAGCGGCGGGGTAGCCTAGTAGTTAAAGCGTTTGCTCGTCACGCCGAAGACCCGGGTGCGATTCCCTAGATGGGTTGGAAGCCAATTTCTGGTTCCCCCGCCAAGTTATTGCTGGAATTTTTCTAAAAACGGCGTAAAACCATACTCACTCACTTGCTCACTTACAAATGTTTGGGAAATGTTCTTTCAGACATTTTCTTACACGTTCGACAAGACCATCCGACAGGAGGAGTACTGTCTGAGCAGTGACGGCGGAAACAACACGCCCCTCACCATGGTCGACTGTCGTCGCGACTTGGACACCACGAAGTGGGATTACAATAAGGTAGGAGCGCCCACAACATCACGTGGTGGCTTGCTGACAAAACATATAGTTTTTTGTTTTAACTTCATTAAAAAAAACACTTAAAAATTCTAATTCGTTATTGTGAAGCCGTATCTATAACATTTTGGATTTTTTTGGGATGTTTTAATAAAAAAAATTATGTCCCTTTTGTTTGTCTATTGTTTTGCGAAAACTGCCGGGCAAAAGACAATACGTATTCACTTGTAAATTGGATGTGGCCAAAGCTTACAAACGTTATCAAAACGTTACTAGACTTCAAACAGTTGCCGAAACACTGCCAAACGTTAAGGTCCAAAACACAGTTATGATGCCCGAATCAAATACATCCCCATCGAAACCCGTGAAGATCCGGGGTAGAATAGGTCTTCAGCAACCCATGCTTGCCGTAAAAGGCGACTATGCTTCTCTTAAGAGGCGACTAACGGGATCGGGTGGTCAGGCTCGCTGACTTGGTTGATGCATGTCATCGATCCCAATTGTGTGGATCGATGCTCATGATGTCAATCACTGGATTGTCTGGTCCAGACTCGATTATTTACAGACCGCCGCCATGTAGCTGGAATATTGCTGAGTGCGGCGTTAAACAACAAACAAACAAACAAACATCACCATCGAATAACCTTTTCTTGTTTGTTTCATTTTTTCCACCATCAAACATGGGTGTATACTTAATTGTGCCCTGGAGTGTATTTTCATGGTCCAATACATTTTTATAAATAAGGCACAAGAGCAGATTTGCATGTTTGCAGTGGGGCCGCAGTTGTTCTTCTGCTGGTTAAAATGACACATCTTTTAAAAAGACTACTTTTATTTCTCTCCAATGTAATTATGACTGCCAAGAATGTCTGATTTGACGCTGGACACCTTCGTTGAAAGATGCGTGTTGTTAATAGTGACGTCACGAGTTCATGTGTACACGGTGGTTGTAGTAGCAGTTGATGGAGTAGTGGATGTAGTAGTGTATAATAATTAATCAGCACTGCTCAGCACCCCTACCCCCTTTCTCTCCACCCCCCGTAAGCTGTATCACGTATATTTAATGAAATACAACTCGGTTGCATGGGTGGCCTAGTCGTCTAAGGCGCCGCGATTCGCTGTGCAGGGTTGTGTCCCTTGGGCATGTCAGGAACCTATGCTTGTGGGTTCGAATCCCGGTTCGCCCCTGTTATGTTTCTAGGTTTGTCAGCACCATACCCGTGCTCGTGGGCTTCACCGAAGTGGTAAACGTCGGAGACCTGCATCATTCCGGGCGTTCTTCCCACATTAAGCTGACACGCCGGGATATAACTGGAATACTGTTAAAAGCGGCGTTAAACCCAACTCACTCGCTGAAATACAACTCATTGTCACATTAAACCCGACTCACTCACTCACTCACTCATTGTTATCCAGGAGGACTGTATGGTGAAGCACGTCAAGTCGGGGCTGTGTTTGTCATCAGGAGGGGGGCAGAAACCCTCCCTCTCCCTGCAGCCATGCGTCAACCAAACAGAAAACCAAATATGGACATTCCTATATTACCTGAATGTGCCGCTCACATAGAGGGACCAGTCATTGCTGTGTTATTAATATACACAGCAAACATGCATACACCGCAATCACATTCTATTACCTGAATGTGCCGCTCACATAGAGGGACCAGTCATTGCTGTGTTATTAATATACACAGCAAACATGCATACATCGCAATCACATTCTATAACCTGAATGTGCCGCTCACATAGAGGGACCAGTCATTGCTGTTTTATTAATATACACAGCAAACATGCATACACCGCAATCACATTCTATTACCTGAATGTGCCCCTCACATAGAGGGACCAGTCATTGCTGTGTTATTAATATACACAGCAAACATGCATACATCGCAATCACATTCTATTACCTGAATGTGCCGCTCACATGGAGGGACCAGTCATTGCTGTTTTATTAATATACACAGCAAACATGCATACACCGCAATCACATTCTATTACCTGAATGTGCCCCTCACATAGAGGGACCAGTCATTGCTGTGTTATTAATATACACAGCAAACATGCATACACCGCAATCACATTCTATTACCTGAATGTGCCCCTCACATAGAGGGACCAGTCATTGCTGTTTTATTAATATACACAGCAAACATGCATACACCGCAATCACATTCTATTACCTGAATGTGCCGCTCACATAGAGGGACCAGTCATTGCTGTTTTATTAATATACACAGCAAACATGCATACACCGCAATCACATTCTATTACCTGAATGTGCCCCTCACATAGAGGGACCAGTCATTGCTGTGTTATTAATATACACAGCAAACATGCATACACCGCAATCACATTCTATTACCTGAATGTGCCCCTCACATAGAGGGACCAGTCATTGCTGTTTTATTAATATACACAGCAAACATGCATACACCGCAATCACATTCTATTACCTGAATGTGCCCCTCACATAGAGGGACCAGTCATTGCTGTTTTATTAATATACACAGCAAGCATGCATACACCGCAATCACATTCTATTACCTGAATGTGCCGCTCACATAGAGGGACCAGTCATTGCTGTGTTATTAATATACACAGCAAACATGCATACACCGCAATCACATTCTATTACCTGAATGTGCCCCTCACATAGAGGGACCAGTCATTGCTGTGTTATTAATATACACAGCAAACATGCATACACCGCAATCACATTCTATTACCTGAATGTGCCCCTCACATAGAGGGACCAGTCATTGCTGTTTTATTAATATACACAGCAAACATGCATACACCGCAATCACATTCTATTACCTGAATGTGCCGCTCACATAGAGGGACCAGTCATTGCTGTTTTATTAATATACACAGCAAACATGCATACACCGCAATCACATTCTATTACCTGAATGTGCCCCTCACATAGAGGGACCAGTCATTGCTGTTTTATTAATATACACAGCAAACATGCATACATCGCAATCACATTCTATTACCTGAATGTGCCCCTCACATAGAGGGACCAGTCATTGCTGTTTTATTAATATACACAGCAAACATGCATACACCGCAATCACATTCTATTACCTGAATGTGCCCCTCACATAGAGGGACCAGTCATTGCTGTGTTATTAATATACACAGCAAACATGCATACATCGCAATCACATTCTATTACCTGAATGTGCCGCTCACATAGAGGGACCAGTCATTGCTGTTTTATTAATATACACAGCAAACATGCATACACCGCAATCACATTCTATTACCTGAATGTGCCGCTCACATAGAGGGACCAGTCATTGCTGTTTTATTAATATACACAGCAAACATGCATACACCGCAATCACATTCTATTACCTGAATGTGCCCCTCACATAGAGGGACCAGTCATTGCTGTTTTATTAATATACACAGCAAACATGCATACATCGCAATCACATTCTATTACCTGAATGTGCCCCTCACATAGAGGGACCAGTCATTGCTGTTTTATTAATATACACAGCAAACATGCATACACCGCAATCACATTCTATTACCTGAATGTGCCCCTCACATAGAGGGACCAGTCATTGCTGTGTTATTAATATACACAGCAAACATGCATACATCGCAATCACATTCTATTACCTGAATGTGCCGCTCACATAGAGGGACCAGTCATTGCTGTTTTATTAATATACACAGCAAACATGCATACACCGCAATCACATTCTATTACCTGAATGTGCCGCTCACATAGAGGGACCAGTCATTGCTGTGTTATTAATATACACAGCAAACATGCATACACCGCAATCACATTCTATTACCTGAATGTGCCCCTCACATAGAGGGACCAGTCATTGCTGTGTTATTAATATACACAGCAAACATGCATACACCGCAATCACATTCTATTACCTGAATGTGCCGCTCACATAGAGGGACCAGTCATTGCTGTTTTATTAATATACACAGCAAACATGCATACACCGCAATCACATTCTATTACCTGAATGTGCCCCTCACATAGAGGGACCAGTCATTGCTGTGTTATTAATATACACAGCAAACATGCATACACCGCAATCACATTCTATTACCTGAATGTGCCGCTCACATAGAGGGACCAGTCATTGCTGTTTTATTAATATACACAGCAAACATGCATACACCGCAATCACATTCTATTACCTGAATGTGCCGCTCACATAGAGGGACCAGTCATTGCTGTGTTATTAATATACACAGCAAACATGCATACACCGCAATCACATTCTATTACCTGAATGTGCCCCTCACATAGAGGGACCAGTCATTGCTGTGTTATTAATATACACAGCAAACATGCATACACCGCAATCACATTCTATTACCTGAATGTGCCCCTCACATAGAGGGACCAGTCATTGCTGTGTTATTAATATACACAGCAAACATGCATACACCGCAATCACATTCTATTACCTGAATGTGCCCCTCACATAGAGGGACCAGTCATTGCTGTTTTATTAATATACACAGCAAACATGCATACACCGCAATCACATTCTATTACCTGAATGTGCCCCTCACATAGAGGGACCAGTCATTGCTGTGTTATTAATATACACAGCAAACATGCATACATCGCAATCACATTCTATTACCTGAATGTGCTGCTTACAAAGAGGGACCAGTCATTGCTGTGTTATTAATATATATACACTGTCAGCACAGCAACATATACCACAATCATCCTCTATTACCTGAATGTGCCGCTCACACAAAGGGACCAGTCATTGCTGTGTTATGAATCAACACTGAATCCTCTCATTCGTCACCACTCGCCCATTTCCGTAACCTGCAAGACGCTATTCGGCTTGTCCCGGAATAACACGAGTTGATCACGAATGTGAATCCTCTATCACCTGAATTACCACGACCTAACACCACCCCGAAATTGTGAAGACAATCGTAAAACAACGCAACAAATTATATCATTAATAGCAATACAAAAACATTTGTACATTTTATCCATATTATAACTATTGTTATGGTTGGTTTTAAAGCATATTGCGTGGCGCTGACCTATTAGTATTACAAGCGTTCGTAAAATAACCATTTAACTCCTTGAGATCTTTTTTTTTCTTTTCCTTTTTTTGATCCTTGGGACCTTGCGTACTCCTGTCGGCGACAGTTTGTTATAAATAAGCTGCTTACATCCGTAGATATTGGGCATCTCTACTGATTAAGATACAGATTGTGTTTATGTAATATTTTAACGAATCGTCAGGTATCAAGAAGGCATCAACAAGAAAGTCCTTTTGAGTCTGTGACGTTATTGAGCTGTGAGACATCTGTCTCCCGGTTGTAAATACGCATTGTGTGAAACCTTCAGCATAATTAATAAATCTATTTTTGAACAGTTTTGTTTTCATTATTGCATGACAACTGCAGTTTGAACAACTATCAGTGACTCACACATCCTTTACCTAGTGAGGGGCGGTCGGGTAGCCTAGTGGTTAAAGCGTTCGCTCGTCACACCAAAGACCCGGGTTCGATTCCCGACATGGGTACAATGTGTGAAGCCCATTTCTGGTGTCCCCCGCCGTGACATTTCTGGAATATTGCTTAAATCGAAAAAACAAACTCACTCACTCCATCTCGTGACTGCAGTGTGGAGAGAATGGACACAATGGCGGCTTGGGTTGGCTCTCGTCGGGGGGAAGACATATTGGAATCGAACTTCCAAACTATCAGTGATGTATTATATATATATTGCTGACTACCCTCGCTTGAAATAAAAAAATATTGCTGACTGATCCCGCCTGTGAAACACTAATATGGCTAACCACTGTCACATGTGATACAATGATATTACTGACTATACTGGTCACCTGCGATTAAGTAATATTGCTGACGCGGCGGCGGAGGCTGTGGTTTGAAGTGCAAACTGATAGAGTAATATGAGTGAATGAGTATGATATCACGCCGCTTTAAAAAAAATACTCAACTATATAGCGCTCAGGCTTGTCAGCGTGATGAAAGCCCGCAATAAGCGGCGTACACGATTATAACGGAGGTGAAATCCACGAACACGGGTGCTGACAAACCAAACAATATCATCGGGGCGAATCTGGGCTTCGAACCACGACCATAGCTTTCTGATAGGCAAGTGTAAGGGACGTAACTCCACACAGCTCATGTTTCAGTCTTCAACAGCTGGGCAATCCGCTCCCCCATTGTCTACGTAAGTAAGCTGACGACTAAGAAGATTACATCTGATCAACGAGTTAATAGACTGGCGTGACTCATACCGAGTTTGATAAACGTGCAGGTAAGTGTCACATGAAAATTAAAGCAGTACAAAGACATTTCTGCGTTACTTCACGTCTTGGCTACGAATGCTACTTGTAGTCAAGCTGCGTTGTCAGAAGTTGGGTTTATGAAGTACATTAATTAGATAAATTGATCTGCATGGACAGATTATGTAGGGGAAGCAGGTCGGCCAACTAATTTTCAGTGATCAGTGAAGGTTTGTATTTTTTTCTTTTGTTGTGATTTTATGGTGTGTGTTTTTCATAACGTGTCACTTTCAACTGGAGTTTGTCAAGTATGAGTTATAGATCGATTACTGCTACAATCAAGCATAGGGCTATGTGTATTTATGAGGAACCGGCATGGTTATATTGATTGATTTTCGTGTCCGGTAACATCTGCAGCAATGTCGAGGTCACCTTGGGGAGTAATCATTGCTGGCAACTGTGCCGTCACAAGCTAGTACGTGGATTCAATATAGTTTGAATACAGGACAAAGTGTTAGATACATATGGATTAAAAAGCGAACACGTTATTATCGTGTGCATCCCCGTGATGCTCTACGTGAATATACCCTTTCTGTTTATAATTTGCATCCCCGTGATGCTCCATGTGTATAAGATATGTATGCCTAATTTATGTCTCCGGACAAACGACATGTTTGCATGACTGTCGTGTCCATGCATATATGGGGGTAGCCTTATTGTGCAAGTGTCACGCTGAAGTCCCGGGTTCGATTCTCAGCTTGTGTGGTTCCCGTTTTTATGACTTTCTTATTGCTGTTGCTAATTTAAACACGACGTTAATTCCCACTCGCTCACGAAACCACCCGTGATATAATGTCTACGACAGTATATCTATACATCGCTAAGTTGTGCTTTCGACCCTACGTTTGTAGTATTTTGGCGACTGTTTTCAGCCTATACTTACGTTTTAAATACCAGTTATCCTCAGTACTAGAGAGGGGTGGTGGGGTAGCCCAGTGGTTAAAGGGTTCGCTCGTCACGCCGAAGACCCGGGTTCGATTCCCCACATGGGTACAATGTCTGAAGCCCATTTCTGGTGTCCCCCGCCGTGATATTGCTGGAATATTGCTAAAAAAGCGGCGTGACACCATACTCACTCTGTCTCTCAGTACTAGAGAACATTTAGCTAATTTAACCATATAAAGGAGAAGGTACCTTGTTGTTTTGAGATATCTTTATGCCACATCACAAATAAACAAAACTACATACCACACATCATTGTGTAATGTAAATGTACGTTGTCCTCAACCATCGTCGTTAATATCAAATTTATATACATTTAAAACTAGGAATTCAACAAATGTTATATTGGGGGAGAACACTTTCTGAGTAAAGTACAGATTCTCGTACGTTTTTGGGTTGAGTCCCGTTCCGGACTGAGGTACCTAAACGCCAGCACACAAAGTCAACGATCTAACAAACCGATCAACCACCGAGGCTTCAACAAAAATGAAAGTCCGACAACTGGTAGTCTAGATTACGTAGTTTGTGTACCCCTCTGACAAGTGTAAATTGACATGGCTCACATGGACTCAACCCCCAAAAGTATGAGAATCTGTACTTTACTCAGAAAGTGTTATCCCAAACATAAAATTTGTTACATTTGACCACTTTCTAAAAGGGATTGTGTGTTCATAGCAATACAACAGCTGTAACATGTACAGCTTTGTCCCAAAGCCGTGTCCGAGAACAGGAAGATAAACACACCACGTTCCAAACCAAATGACACCTGCTTGGGAATATAGCTTTGGTCACATTCACCATAAGTCATCGTGTTAAAAAAGAGAGAACTAAATATTGAAAAACATTTTTCAATTTTAATTAATGGGTGGATGTACATTTAAAACATATAAATCTTACACAATATCATTCAATCACAGCTGCCAGCTTTCTCACTGCACACTATATCTGTATGAAAGCAGCAGCTGATTCTGATATATTCAGAGGAACCTGTACCCCGCCTGGTGGAATGGCAAGGTTGACATAAAATATTAAATGAGAGAACGCAAACAAGGAAACGAACGATTTGCTTAAATATTATTTACTTCATATAAGAATAAACGTTTAATATTTTATACTATCCTGGGTAGTGAAAACCTTTATTGCCTAAAGTACACTAAGACACATATAATATAATTTTTTCCGCTGTTATAACCATGTACATTAATGCCCGGTAGTGGCCCAGTTAGTCGGTAAATGGCCATGTCACCGAGACCCTGGTGCCTCACTTTATCTATCATGAAGTTCCTGATATATCGCTGATTTGGTTGAAGCTACTTTATTATCTAATTGATAAAGGATATGGCAGTCTTCTCCTGTATAGTCGCCTTCTTTAACTAAAACATAGGAGAAACTAAAGGAGTTTTAGACGTAGAACATCATGGACGAGCGTATGGTTAAAACAGAAGGGGTATATAGGCGTAGAGCATCACGGGGATCCATATGGTAGAAACAGAAGGGGTATGTAGACGTAGAGCATCACGGGATCCATATGGTAGAAACAGAAGAGGTATGTAGACGTAGAGCATCACGGGGATCCATGTGGTTGAAACAGAAGGGGTATGTAGACGTAGAGCATCACGGGGATCCACTGGTATATACTCATGGAACATCACGGGGATCTATATAGTGGCAACACAAGGAGTATAAAGGCGTAGAGCATCACGGGGACCCATATGGTAGCAACAGAAGGGATATAAATACACTATGGAACATCACGAGGATGCATATGGTGCAAACACCATCATCTGTTAAATATTCGTGTTTTGATACTACTGTCGGTATGTTTCAGATGACCAATGATGTACTACATAATTGCCGTGGTAGTAATTGGTTACATTTTGGTCACGTGGTTTGTAAGGAGTCGCCGATTAAAAGACTACAGCGAGAGATTCGTGTTCATCACAGGATGTGATACAGGTTTCGGCAATGGCTTGGCTCGACGGTTGGACCAGCTAGGTTTCCATACATTTGCTGCCTGCCTTACCGAGAAAGGCGCAGGCGATCTAACAGAAGCTACGTCTGCTCGGCTCGTGGCCGTCTGCTGTGACGTCACAGATGACGATAGTATCAAGCAGACACTTGCCACTGTCAAGTCACATTTACCCAATAACAAAGGTAGGTAATAATTATGAGTGATACAGTTAGGGTTTAGCGACGCTTTGAACGCTTTGTTTCAGGTATTTATTGAAATTCCTTGGTTTTACTTTAAGGAACTGTTTGTCAAAACGCGCCCTATGTTCACAGATCGAGTCGCGTGAACGCACCATCCTATAAGCTAGTACTGCAGGGTGAAATATGTGACTTTTGGTCAGGTTCAGGACAGTGGCCAACAATTAGTTAGAGTTAGAACTCTTTAGTTTCTAGATTAGTAAAGGGGGCACGGGTGGCCCTGTCGTCTAAGGCGCCGCGATTCGCTGTGCAGAGTTGCGTCCCTTGGGCACGCCAGAAAACTATGATTGTGGGTTCGAATCCCGGTTCGCCCCGATTATGTTTCTAGGTTTGTCAGCACCATACCCGTGCTCGTGGGTGTCACTGAAGTGGTAAACGTCTGAGACCTGCATCACTTCGGGCTTTCCTCCCACATTAAGCTGACACGCCGCGATATAACTGGAACACTGTTAAAAGCGGCGTTAAACCCAACTCACTCACTCACTCACTCACTCACTAGATTAGTTAACATTCAAGCGATTCACGTTTTGTTGATTAGTTTTAATTCATTTTTGGACCAACTCTGCAAATGTGTTATCTCCTTGCACAACAGCGGGTTTCGAAAGACAGCTAGATCTAATAGATAAACATAGAGACCTTTCGGGGATCCCGTGAAGATCTGGCTCAGAATTGGTCTTCAGCATCTCATGCTTGTCTTAAGACGTGTCCAGCGGGATTGGGTTATAAGGCAGGCAGACTTGGTTGATGAATATCATCTCATCCCAAGATCGATGCTCATGGTGTCAGTCACAGGATTGCCTGGCCAAGACTCCATTATTTACAGACCGTCATGTAGATGGAATATTGCTGAGTGTCGTGTTAAACAACAAACAAAACATACCCTTTGGAACAACTCATGTAAATCAGGAACTGTGACGGATATATATATACGAGTGAGTGAGTGAGTATGGTTTTACGCCGCTTTTTGCAATATTCCAACAATATCACGGCGGGGGACACCAGAAATGGGCTTCACGCATTGTACCCATGTCGGGAATCGAACCCGGGTCTTTGGCGTGACGAGCGAACGCTTTAACCACTAGGCTACCCGACCGCCCGACCGATATACGAATATGGGACGATTTTTACATATGAATGCATGTATTATGTGTTTGGGTCACGATTTGGTACGAACGTTTCTTTTGTCCAGACGAACAAGTGAATGTTTTTGTGTTCAACTTATCGACAATTAAGTGAATTTGAAAAGATCATCGCAAAACATTGTTCACATGTCACGCTGTATGTAAGGTCTGGGACCGACAATCAGAAACATGTGCACACAATGCGAATCTACTAATTAGTTTTAAAACGCCAGACACATGTCGACCATGGTCTGGTTACGGCGACCTGTGACATTTGTCCACCTATATTCTTCCCTCAAAAGAAAAGGTTGCATTTACACCCTCCTTGAACCAGGACGTGTGTGTCTTCTATTGAAGTGCACGCACGTGGTGTCTTAGCGTGTTAATTACAGGTAATGTTTCACCTGCTCGTTCACCTCCCCGTTAACCGGTTCCAGGTACAGCAATTACAGCATCAGCACTTGTCATGCAGGCGATAAGATCTGGGTGCAACTTGACGACTGAGTGAACAAAGAGGGTTTCGGGCACATGGACACCTTTGTTAACTATTGTACAATGTTTGAGTGAGGGACCGTATCGAAATCCGTTTGGTTGATTTGGTTATTGGAAGTATATTGTGTAACAGTATTTTGTGTATGGAGGTAGTGGTTTGTTTTTAACAGGACCTGACGTTTTTCATTGATGGAAATTCAGCAAAAAAGTATTGTTTGTCTTTTCGAATCGCTTAAATGACGTCATAACGGGAATGATGCCACGTGGTGTTATGACTATAGTCTTCCTACATATATAAGTGAGTGAGTGAGTGAGTTCGGTTTTACGCCGCTTTTAGCAATATCCAGCAATATCACGGCGGGGGGACACAAGAAATGGGCTTCACACATTGTACCCATGTCGGGATTCGAACCCGGGTCTTTGGCGTGACGAGCGAACGCTTTAACCACTAGACTGGACTCAACCAAATCATTTCTTATGTTGTGGAAATAATGAAACGAATACTGAACGAATGTATTTCTCCAACAAACTTATTATACGATTATAGGTATTTTGAAGTCGTACTCACGTAGGGTTGGATTAAAATATCTGGCCAACAGAAATACATGTTACCAAGGACTATCTGTCCACCCCGAACTTAAACCTGGCTGAACTTGACTTACTGTCATGGCTGTCAAAATAGTTGTTCACGGTGACAGTGCTGTTGATAAATTGCAGGAGCCTAGAGGACAATCCCCATCTGTAGTTATGTTCCATATTATCCTGATGAGTGAGTGAGTTGGATTTAACGCCGCTTTTAACAGTATTCCAGTTATATCACGGCGTTTCAACTTAATGTGGGAGGAAAGCCCGAAGTGAAGCAGCTCTCCAACGTTTACCACTTCGGTGAAACCTACGAGCACAGGTATGGTGCTGACAAACCTAGAAACATAATCGGGGCGAACCGGGATTCGAACCCACAATCATAGGTTTCTGGCGTGTCCAAAGGAACGCAACTCAGCACAGCGAATCGCGGCGCCTCAGACGACTGGGCCACCCGTGCCCCCTTACCCTGATGATGGGCTGCTGGAAGGAACAAGCATGAAACCCCCTGAAGTAGGAGAATACCGCCGTTTTAAGGTGCAGACGATGACACGAGAAAGGCTTTCTTGAAAAACATAATTATGCTTCAGACTGTTGAAATGCAAAAGAATTGCATGTCCCAAAAATGAATTTGTGCGAGACCTATATTCCAACCTACATATGGTCGCTTTGTATTGTATGAACATGTATGCGTATGAAACCTTGTACTTTTGTTTTTATAATGTAATTATTTTGTACATCAAATGGAGTCATCATCTACTCTAGTGGTAATAAAGTATCACACCCGTAGCCTGTGTTGGACCTTGTGGTTTCAATCACAATCCCGGTTACATCACCCAGAATTAAGACACCGGTGGCCAATTCGCTGTACAGAGTTGCGTCCCTTGGGCACGCCAGAAAATTATTATTATGGGTTCGAATCCCGGTTCGTCCCGATTATTTCTAGGTTTGTCAGCACCATAAACGTGCTCGTTGGTTTCACCGAAGTGGTAAACGTCTGAGACCTACATCACTTCGGGCTTTCCTCCCACATTAAGCTTATTTCTAGGTTTATCAGCACCATACACGTGCTCGTGGGTTTCACCAACGTGGTAAAGGTCTGAGATAAACCCACTCACTCACTCTTACCAAGAATCCCCAAGGCTTGTCTAGCTTATCTCGTAGAACGCGAACATCTATTTGGGCTAGATGGAGTATCTGGACTGGGTAGCGATATTTAATAAATGTGTTGTAAGAATTTCTGTTATTTCAGGAATTTGGGCGTTAGTGAACAACGCAGGGGTGACAGGGGCCGTGGCACCATCAGAATGGCTCAGTCGGGAGGACTGGAAGATACCCATGTCCGTCAACGTCTTGGGGATGGCAAGCGTCACTAACCACTTCCTCCCTCTCCTGCGCATGTGCGGGGGTCGTATCATCAACACGTCTAGTGTTTTAGGGAGGGTTGCAGCAGGCCCAACCGCCTACGTCGTCAGCAAATACTGCGTGGAAGGGTACTCGGATACGCTAAGGTTGGTTGACTGGGTTCCTGTCTGCCTCAACGAGTAGTGAGGTGAGGTGAGGTGAAATTGGGTTTAACGTCGCGTCCAAGATTATTGCACTTATATAGCGACGTGCATGCACGTGTATGTGTGTGTGTGGCTGCTTGTACTAGTCCGGACCATGCCGCAGTTTAACATGAATACCCCACTCAGACACAGTATACTGACTCCGAGCCGACCAGTCCTTGTTTTAGCCCCTTAATGCCGAGCGCCAGACAGGGTAACAACAAGTACAATCTTTTAACGTCTTTTTGTATGACGCGGCCCGGGATCGAACCCTGGACCTTCCACTCTCCGGGCGGACGCTTTACCACTAGACCACGGAGGCGGTCCTCAACGAGTAGTAGTGGTGGCCGATTTTTCGTAGGCAGCAATTGGACCACATTCTCTCAGTACATGGCGTCATTCTCGAGCCTCGAGTATTATATCTCCGTTCTTTTATGATATGAGCCTCGAGTATTATATCTCGATTCTATTATGATAAATTAGGAGAGAAACATACTCTGTTTTCAATTTAGAGCTAGGTTATCTGTATATGTAACCGCGCTAGATTGAATTTGGAACAGAACGCGCAGCATGAGGTTTCAAATGTTAAATATAGCGCGGTTAAAACACCATTCTACCATGACTAAATAAAACGCGAACTCTTTGCTGTTAGCAAATATATTGAGTAAATCGGAATGGGTTGAGTCCAGTGTTTTAAGTAACCGCAACTTTGCAATTTGTAACATGTGAATGTAGATATAATTATTTAAATATGCCTACCGACAATGACTGAAAATATACTATACTATGAACATTAGCTTCCGCGGTGATGCGGCCGTTAAATCGGCTGTTTCATTCAGATGGGGGTTTAATGTGATTTGACAACCTCTGATGACCAATCAGAATAGAGTAACTTTCAAATTCATGGTAGAATTAAATATATACCATAATAGAAAGAAGATTTGGTGCACTGGATATTCAAGGATGAGCATTCATGTGTCCTCGGCAAAGAATGCAAACATACAACGGGAAGTTTGTTTGTGAAAATTAATTAGCACAGAAGTATTGTAAAATGTTCCCCTCTACACTTACTCTATGTTTATTTACATTTGTAATGAAGGCAGTTACGCATGCGCACCTATAATCGGATATGGTAGATTTCACATTTCTTGGCCGCCGCCTGTTGGTTAAAAGTACCATTAAAGCTTGCTGCGCGATCATCACCCCACCCACGCCGATGGCATAATGAATAAAGCACCAGATGGTATATCCCGGGGTCAGAGATCACCTGTGTTTGCGTCCCTACAAGGATTTTTCCGAGGCACACTGTACCTGCTGCTCTTTACCCTGCCAGAATTTCTGCAAATCACATGCTTATGTTTTTCCTTCAAAAAAATAAATACCCATCTTCATTGCAAAAAAAACAGGACGCCCGATTCAGAAACGATCGTACAGACCGGATATTTATCTTCAAATAAGTCAATTTTATCGTTTTAAGCAAATTAAACTAAAACTAAACTAAAATGATCATTTGTTTTTGTTTTATGATCTGCTACCTGGATATGTATTTCAAGAATGCCTGGGCTCATTTGGGGACAGTTTTGTAGTGAGTGAGTGAGTATGGTTTGACGCCGTTTTTAGCAATATTCCAGCAATATCACGGCGGAGGACACCAGAAATGGGCTTCACACATTGTGTTGGGAATCGAACCTGGGTCTTCGGCGTGACGAGCGAACGCCTTAACCACTAGGCTACCCGACAGCCCCGACGGTTGTGTAAGCTTAGGGTAGGCCTGTGCTTTTGTTGTTGTAAAACGGTAAAATATACACTGTATCTGCAATCGCTTTCAGGACCCCGTTCCACAAAGCGATCTTAGCGTTGCGACTGCGTAAATCTATGCTAAAGTATAGGAGTTATGATTATCTTAGCGCTAAGATCGATTTGTATAGCGGGGCATGGAACATAAAATAATCGTTCGGCATTTTCATGTGACGTAACTAATATACCATCCATCCTTCTAGGGATATCTTTGCATGATACACAACTGATTCGCGATGACGAGTGTAATTTAAATTTATCTGGCATATCTCATTACCCCTATTAAAAGCTGAGTAGAATATGCCTGTGTGGACAGAGGTAACTGAAATGTTTCTCTCCACAGGCGAGAACTGTTGGATCAGGGCGTGTCAGTCCACATCATAGAACCAGGAGCCTTCAAGACGAACATCACAAACCCGGACCTGCTCACTGCATCAATGGAGAAAGTGTACCGGAAGTTGGACCCGGAAGTGCAACAGTATTATGGGAAGGAGTACTGTTCTGGGTGTAAGTGTTAACACATTCTGTTCATGCATTTTAGAATGGCATGATGTATACATTTCATCACTTCGTGCTTAACTCCCATATTAAGCTGACACGCCGTGATGTAACTGGAATTCTGTTCAAAGCGGCGTAAAATCCAAATAACTCACTCACTCATTTGGTAAAAGATATCTGCGACGAGAAGATAAAACTGAACATTTAAAGAGTAAGAAATACCTTTAAGGTTCTTAAAACACATCAATTATTATCCACGAGCGCGGGCATGGTGCTGGCATGAATAAAAACATAATCAGGGCAATTCTGAGACTCGATGGTTTTTTTAAAAATAATTGTTTTATCGATGTATTTCCTTGTTGCTTGCATTCCATGAGATCCTCTTAGAGTAACACCTTTGATGATGTCAAGTATAATAGCGGATGTGTTCTTTTGAAAGACAATTATTATGTCTTTAATAATCAGATTGGGATAAGAAAACACTCATCTGATTGCTTGTTATGTTTATTCAACAAGATGACCAAGGTCCTATTACGTGCTCATAGTATATAGACTACTCAATAAGAATCATGTGGGTCCTTAATGATTTAGACCCGTGAAGATCCGGGGTAGAGTAGGTCTTCAGCAACCAATGCTAGCCATAAGAGGCGACCAATGGAATCGAGTGGTCCGGCTTGCTGACTTGGTTGAAGTCAATTGTATGGATCGATGCTCATGATGTCAATCACTGGATTGTCTGGTCTAGACTCGATTATTTACAGACCGCCGTCACATAGCTGGAACATTGCTGAGTGCGGCGTTAAACAATAAACCAACCAACTAATGTTTTAGAGGAGTATTTCATAATAGAACGGAGATTTCATACACTGGGTAATCGAGGGTGTGTAAAACCCGACTCCCTCACTCACTCGCTGTTGTATGTCCCCAGTGCGGACGTTGATGACGCTGCTGTCGAGATGGGAAGCTGACGGAAACCTGGACAAAGTGGTCGACGCCTACACACACGCCATCACCGCCGTGTACCCCAAAACAAGATACGTCGTCGGCGTTGACGCCAACACCATCTTTACGCTCTTGTGGAATGTCCCAGACAGAATCACTGACCTAATTCTGGGCCTTACCTACCCAAGACCTCAAGGTGAACGCTGACGAGCAGAGTAGGATGAACGTGATGGATACAAACGCAACACTTTAAGTTTCATGTATCGTCAAATCGTGTTTGGTTGTTTGTTTGTTTGTTTGTTTGTTTGTTTGTTTGTTGTTTAACGCCGCACTGTGCAGAATTCCAGCTATATTTCCTGTTGCATATCAGAATACATATATGCTATCAATATACCAGCAAAGTATATTCATTAAGATGCTTGTCTTCATTATTGAATCAATAAATAAAAATAATTATCTTTAACGATGACGTCACTTGGAGGCTGCTTGCCAGAGTACCGCACCCCAGGGGCACACTGGATACAGGCAGAATATATTAGAATTTGAGTGGACATGTAACTATATAGAGATGGCTGCTTTGCTCAGGTCATTCACGTTTTGCATGGTATTCATGGAGCAAGTCAAAAGCATGTTTGTTTGTTTGTTTATTGTTTAACGCCGCACTCAGCAATATTCCAGCCATATGTAAGCGGCCTGTAAATAATCGAGTCTGGACCAGACAATCCAGTGATTGACATCATGAACATCGATCCACACAACTGGGATGCGATGAGATGCATCAACCAAGTCAGCGAGCCTGACCACCTGATCCCGTTAGTCGCCTCTTACGACAAGCACAATCGCCTTTTACGGCAAGTATGAGTTGCTGAAGACCTATTTTCCCCCGGATATCCACGGGTCCAGTGTCAAATATGACTTCACCATTTGCAGAATATCAAAATTGTCCAAAATTTTGATTATTAAAAGAAACATTGATTATTGTATTGGTCTTCAAAGCCAGGACGGATTAGCTCCAATCTACCTCCGGGTACTCCTCGAAGAATATCAGCCATTGAGAAATCTCTGATGAAGAAGTCAACATCTGCTCTCGGTTCCTGCATGGCAGACTACTACTTCTGGAGATTGCTGTTTGGCGAGAGCAGATCCAATACTGTAGAACAACAGCCTCCCTCTTCATCACGAAGCGGGGGCACGGGTGACCCAGTCGTCTAAGGCGCCGCGATTCGCTGTGCAGAGTTGCGTCCCTTGGGCACGCCAGGAACCTATGATTTTGGGTTCGAGTCCCGGTTCGCACCGATTATGTTTCTAGGTGAGAGCTGCATCACTTCTGTGATATACTTGAATACTGTTAAAAGCAACGTTAAACCCAACTCACTCACTCATCCCCCAAGCATTCAAGAACTCACCTTTCAATCTTATCTTAAGACTCACCAGTTCACTGGGCCATATTTCTCTCTCCCTATTTCTAGTGTGATGCAATCTACGAAAGCCCTTTTGAGTAGTTGATTTCAGCTGGATTCTAACGCTCTACAAATAACTGCCAGTGGTATAATTGTTGTATAATGTGAAAAAGGTATGTATTAACTAATAAAGATTCACTGATTTGAATCGACTTCTCGAGTTTTTCGAAGATCGTTAAATATGATTTATCATCCAAAACTGGCTCTCACAGGAGATATAGCTTGGGTGATATCAAGCGATATCTACACTGTAGATATCGCTGCAATGAAATTGCATCACAATGCTTTGCAGACCATTGTGACGTCATTGGTTACCATGACGTCACAATCAAATGACATCACTAATGGCTCTGCTACTGAAGCTGTTTGCAGTACTTTTTACACTTAAGACACTGCTTATTACTGTCTAGAAACTGAAAAAGTTGGAAGAATGATGTTGGATGATAAATAAAATCTCACCCTCGTGTCTTTTGATATAAAATATATCAACACTTGTTGATAAAAGTGGAAACAATCCTCGGCAAGCCTCGGAGTTTTCCCACTTTTATCAACTCGTGTTGATATATTTGTTATCAAAAGAAACTCGGGTGAGATTCTCTATATCATACCTTCACAATTGCATCCAAAAGAACACTTTAAGATGCATTTATCCGGGAACATACATTGACACTCATAGACACGTTCACGTGTATTGTATTTGCACATGCGCGCACATCGCGTGTGTGTACACGGGTGGCCCAATCTTACACGCAGAGATTCGCTGTACAGAGTTGCTTCCCTTACGTGTTCCAGGTTCCTGGGAATCTCACACGACGGTGATACAACTTAAATGTCCTATTCAAAGCGACGCAAGACCCAACCAGCCTACTTACAAACATGAATTACACAATTTATGAAATAAACGATTCTGTTTGTACGTTAGGGGCCGCATCCGTGGTTTAGTGGATAGAGCGTCTGTCGGCAGGGCGGAAGTTGGTGGTTTAATCCCCTGACCGCGTTATACCAAAAATTGGTACTTTTTGTTACCCTGCCTGGCATTAAGGGGGAAAAACAAGGACTGGTTGGCTTGGAAGTCACTATACTGGGTCTGAGTGGGGTATTCATGTTATACTGCTGCATGGTATTTCAGTGGGCTAGCACTATAAAACGGGATCAGTCCGGACAACGCCTTAAATGGAGGCGAAATTAAACGCGACAACGCCTTTAAACGGAGGCAGAATTAAACGCGACAACGCCTAAATATAGGCGGAATTAAACGCGACAACGCCTTAAACGGAGTCTTAATTAGACGCGACAACGCCTTAAACGGAGGCGGAATTACACGCGACAACGCCTAAATAAAGGCGGAATTAAACGCGACAACGCCTAAATGGAGTCTGAATCAAACGCGATAACGCCTTAAACGGAGGCGGAATTAAACGCAACAACGCCTTAATAAAGGCGGAATTAAACGCGACAACGCTTTTATATGGAGGCGGAATTACAACGCCAACGCCTTTAAATGGAGGCGGAATTAAACGCGACAACGCCTTAAATGGAGGCGGAATTAAACGCGACAACTCCTAAATAGAGGCGGAATTAAACGCGACAACGCATTAAATGGAGACGGAATTAAACGCGACAACGCCTAAATAGAGGCTGAATTAAACGCGACAACGCCTTAAATGGAGGCTGAATTAAACGCGACAACGCCTTAAATGGAGGTAGAATTAAACGCGACAACGCTTTAAGTGGAGGCGGAATTAAACGCGGCAACGCCTTTAAATGGAGGCGGAATTAAACGCGACAAAGCCTTAAATGGAGGCGGAATTAAACGCGACAACGCCTTTAAATGGAGGTGGAATTAAACGCGACAACGCTATAAATGGAGGCTGAATTAAACGCGTAAAACGCCTTTAAATGGGGGCTGAATTAAACGCGACAACTCTTTCAATGGAGGCGGAATTAAACGTGACAACGCTTTTAAATGGAGGCGGAATTACACGCGACAACGCCTTTAAATGGAGACGGAATTAAACGCGACAACGCCTTAAATGGAGGCGGATTCAACAGTTTGTTAATGAGTGGGAAATGACAGGGGATATCGCGAATGTGGAGAAACGAACCGCGGTTTTCTGTGTGACAGGCGATCACTGTAACCACTGGGCCACCCAACGCCTTGGGCTGTTTTTCTTGGAAACTGGCTATTTATACAAATACGGAACTCAGATGCATCTAATATTAAAACTTTCTAGTTCCCCTATTTTCTTAAAACACATATACAAATACATATATCTTGTAGAGCAATGTACGACTGCATTCTGAACAGAACGTTTCAGTTACCTATGTGTGACATTTAACAGAGCTAATAGACTCGTGGTCGACGTGCAGGGGTGTTGTTTAATCCGTGTGTAAGTGCAGGTTGACACTGGTTCAGCTAAGTCCAAGCAAACATGGCTGAGAGTGAATCAAACCTACAGGTAAGTTTATAAATGAAGGCAACACAAGCAGCCTGAAAATAAGGCTTTCTCCCAACACTATAGGCTACGATATTTACTGATCGTTTGCTCTTCGGAGTTTTGTATCGAAAATGACATTCGTCAACTAATTCCTAAAAAAAAATCCGATGGTCCCTCTGTTGATGACGATTATTTAACAATGCATAACTCACGAATGGTTAAGAGCTATCGGCGGTCTGTAAATAATCGATTCTGTACCAGACAATCCAGTGACTGACATCACGTGCAACCAACCGATTCATCGAGCCTGACAACCCGATTCATGTAGTCGCCTCTTACGGCAAGCATTGGTGGCTGAAGACCTATCTGATCCGGACTACCCACGTACGTGATGGAGTGAGGAGAACATGGTTGGTATTCTCTGCTCTCACGGAAGATTAGCAGTCAGAAACCATTTTTCAAGGAGATATTTTTTAATATTTGAATATGAATATAGGCATTTGATCTTAATAGCAATTTTCCAGCAATGTCAGATGAAGCAATTTTCCAGCAATGTCAGATGAAGTAATTTTCCAGCAATGTCAGATAAAGCAATTTTCCAGCAACGTCAGATGAAGTACACCAGCAATGTCAGATGAAGTAATTTTCCAGCAATGTCAGATAAAGCAATTTTCAAGTAATGTCAGATTAAGCAATTTTCAAGCAATGTCAGATGAAGCAATTTTCAAGCAATATCAGATGAAGCAATTTTCCAGTAATTTCAGATGAAGTACACCAGCAAAGTCAGATAAAGCAATTTTCCAGTAATGTCAGATGAAGCAATTTTCAAGCAATGTCAGATGAAGCAATTTTCCAGTAATGTCAGATGAAGCAATTTTCCAGCAACGTCAGATGAAGTAATTTTCAAGCAATGTCAGATGAAGCAATTTTCAAGCAATGTCAGATGAAATACACCAGCAACGTCAGATGAAGCAATTTTCCAGCAACGTCAGATGAAGTAATTTTCCAGCAATGTCAGATTAAGCAATTTTCAAGCAATATCAGATGAAGTACACCAGCAACGTTAGATGAAGCAAATTTTTCCAGCAACGTCAGATGAAGTAATTTTCCAGCAATGTCAGATGAAGCAATTTTTTAAGCAATGACAGATGAAGCAATTTTCCAGCAATATCAGATGAAGTACACCAGCAACGTCAGAAGAAGCAATTTTCCAGCAACGTCAGATGCAGTAATTTTCCAGCAATGTCAGATGAAGCAATTATCCAGCAATGTCAGATGAAGCAATTTTCAAGCACTGTCAGATGAAGTAATTTTCCAGCAAAGTCAGAAGAAGCAATTTTCCAGCAACGTCAGATGCAGTAATTTTCCAGCAATGTCAGATGAAGCAATTTTCCAGCAATGTCAGATGAAGCAATTTTCCAGTAATGTCAGATGAAGCAATTTTCCAGCAACGTCAGATGAAGTAATTTTCAAGCAATGTCAGATGAAGCAATTTTCAAGCAATGTCAGATGAAATACACCAGCAACGTCAGATGAAGCAATTTTCCAGCAACGTCAGATGAAGTAATTTTCCAGCAATGTCAGATTAAGCAATTTTCAAGCAATATCAGATGAAGTACACCAGCAACGTTAGATGAAGCAAATTTTTCCAGCAACGTCAGATGAAGTAATTTTCCAGCAATGTCAGATGAAGCAATTTTTTAAGCAATGACAGATGAAGCAATTTTCCAGCAATATCAGATGAAGTACACCAGCAACGTCAGAAGAAGCAATTTTCCAGCAACGTCAGATGCAGTAATTTTCCAGCAATGTCAGATGAAGCAATTATCCAGCAACGTCAGATGAAGCAATTTTCAAGCACTGTCAGATGAAGTAATTTTCCAGCAACGTCAGAAGAAGCAATTTTCCAGCAACGTCAGATGCAGTAATTTTCCAGCAATGTCAGATGAAGCAATTTTCCAGCAACGTCAGATAAAGTAATTTTCCAGCAATGTCAGATGAAGCAATTTTCAAGCAATGTCAGATGAAGCAATTTTCAAGCACTGTCAGATGAAGCAATTTTCAAGCAATATCAGATGAAATACACCAGCAACGTCAGATGAAGTAATTTTCCTGCAATGTCAGATGAAGTAATTTTCCTGCAATGTCAGATGAAGTAATTTTCCTGCAATGTCAGATGAAGTAATTTTCCTGCAATGTCAGATGAAGTAATTTTCCTGCAATGTCAGATGAAGGACACCAGAAATGGGCTTCACACATGGTACCCATGTCGGGAATCGAACCTGGGCCTTCGGTGTGACGAGCGACCCGAGCACCTGGAAAAAGTGCGCTATATAAAACTATAATTTATGATTATAATATATAATATTCAATAGTTGAAAAATTAATGATATTGCCACACAATCATACTCTCTTGAAGCAACTACGATCATCCGTTCCATACGACAAATGCAGTCATTTACTGATTGGTATCCTGTGAGAACAACGTTTCTTTTTTATCTAATTACCCCGTAACGTGGACAGTAATACAAATGTACATGTACAATGATGTGGGCCATGTTTGCTCTCGTGTGTTCTCCAGTGGGTGTTGATAGATGACTTTAGCGCCCGGAACATGCCGGGACTGCAGGCCGTGCTGCTTAGTTACAAATTACCCGCGCTGTATGTCTGACTGTGATCCCTGTGCAATCATCGCTCCCTCCCCCCTGTCCACCCTACTCCTCTCTCGTTAATGTCATCGTTTTTCACGTTTTCTAATGACCTCAAACTCCCTTTTGATGTCTATCAAATGCAAGCGATCTACGTCATCACTCTACCGCTTCTCATACGACATATTTCATATGAGATGCATACATCTGAATTTTACAAAAAATAAACTTTTAAAAATTCACCTTTACGAAATATTTATCAAAATTCATCGAATACATCAGGATGTTAAAGGAGTACAATTTCGAAAACGAGAAAAACCACACCCTAGTCTACAAACCCGATTAAAAAATGCAGTCGATTTTTATTCCTTTAATGCGTCGGTAAATAAAAAGACAGCAGTGTGTGTTTTCACTTCAAAACAGTTGTCTCCCTTCCCCTATACGTCGTAGTGTTATGCTCGATAGGGGATGTATATAATCTAGGTTAAAAGTTACAAGTGCGATAGAATTAAGTTTGTCGGCGATAGTGTGCTGGTCTCCTGATAAGGGTGGTTGAGATAAAGTCCTATCTGTACTATGTCGCGAGTTGTCGTCTAAGGGCACTAGCTCGACTGAGATTAATTCATACAACCATGGCTCCGGTCATTAACTTCAAGAGAATTATTCTAACCGGCTTATGTGTGTATATTCTTCTGACGGTGTATTTTCTTCTGTCAATCATTCCAATGCATCAGAATGAAGAAACCGGACAATCGTGGCACCATCGTGGCAATGAAATGAACTTTGTACAGCAACCAGTCGACGTGGTGGTCATTGAAGATAACGATGTTAATTCCAAGCTGCAACGCTCGCAACTACCTGTCAAAACAACACAGACTGTGAAAACTAAAATTCCGGGAACGCCAAAGCCAACACGACTACGAACCGTCAAGCGAAGGACGAGGGACATGTTTCAAGAGTTTTTGAAGCCAAGTAAGGTGCATTTAAATTTCACTGAAATTGCTCCTAAAATTTTTGCTTTTTCAGCGTTCTTAGATGACAGATATGACACCTCATATGTCCGGGTCGTCGTGATAGCCCCGAGCGGTCGGAAGAAGCGCATGACAGGCTTCTATTGTGTCTTCAACAACAATGACATGATCGAAATGGTATATTATGAAACATGTGAAAACCATCTTCAAGTCAACGCATACTATATGTTATCGTGCGCAGTGCCTGAGTCAATAGCAAGGAAATTCCACGACATCAACATTCTAACAATCTCCCCGTCCAAAACAGCAAGCCCCGGCCGCTATAAGATCATAAATGTTGTTAATAACCGAGGAAGATTTGAAAGTGACAGACGGAGACAAATGGGACGTTTTGCCGTATGTATTCCTCCGCTGTTTGGTAGTGTTAACCCTTTACGCCTCGTAGAATTCATTGAACTGTCACGCCTACTGGGGAGTAATCATTTCACGTTTTACACACATTTTGTATCGGAGGATGTGATGCAGGTATTAAAGCATTACGAGAGACAGGGTGTTGTTACCGTCATGCCGTGGTACCTCCCTGTCAAGAATATATGGTACAAGGGACAATCCGCCGCTGTGGGGGACTGTCTCCTCAGGAATATGCATATTAATCATCTTGTGGCCTTTAACGATATCGACGAATATATCATGCCTCATTATAACAACTCGTGGAGTTCCTTTCTGGAGTATGTGCATCATCAACAATCATCTAAAGGCGTTAAAACGGGGAATATTGCAGTTTATAGGTTTAAAAGTGCATTCTTTGAAGTTCCAACATACGCGAACGCCAGGAATCTATCAAAGGAACAACAGGGATTTCAGCTGACAATGGACAAGTTTGTTTCACTGAGGCAGACAAAGAGGACTACAAAATTGAGCAAGATACGTACGAAGATGATGGCGTACCCCACACGGGTATTTGAGTTGGGTATCCACCATCTTAGTAAGCAGATCAGAGAGGAATATTTCTGCCTCGATGTGGAACCGGAAGTAGCCTTTTTACACCACTACCGGAATTGTGACCGCATGTGGGATATGAGCTGCGATGAATATGTACAAGACAAAACGGCTTTGCGTTTCAAATATTCTTTAGTCAACAACACTATAAGTGCTTTAAAACTATTAAAACATACACTGGCGTCTATATGATCATTAATTATGTGCCACATGACAGAGTGCTTCCGGAACTATATGTGCAATGATCCAGGCGTACTGAGGGCGCCTGGAAAGATTGTTTAGCCATCTATTAGTGGTATACATGTTATGTAATTCTACCTCCACCCGTGAGGATTATCCCCCTTTCCTTGTATCAACCATGGCGTTTCAATAAACACGTGTTCCGTTCCAATACTCTGTGGTTGGTTCAACTCCTGGGTCCTTACTGGCTTAGCGGCAGTGTTGGGAAACTCCTGGGTCCTTACTGGCTTAGCGGCAGTGTTGGGAAACTCCTGGGTCCTTACTGGCTTGGCGGCAGTGGTGGGAAACTCCTTTGTCCTTGCTGGCGCAAGGAGAATCCCGACTGCAGAAGGAATGGGATTGGCGTATATAGTGACTGTCATGTTTACTTGACGTTTTTTTGGTGTTTACTTGGTATTTACGTCCACACAATGTATTTAGTCAGTTGCATGTTGCCATGTCAACTCTGGGAAATTATCAAGCGTTGATTTATGTTAAGAAGGGATTAGGTTCAGTCCAATTAGCATGCCAGCAACTTAATAGCAATGTTGATTCAAGTCATTAAACACCACTTTGTTATCATGAAGTCTTTGATAGGCATTTAGAAGTTGCCATTCACCTGTATTATGTATTTCATCCATATACTGATTGTTATCATTGCCCTAATTACAAGGTTTAGACAGGATCTCTGTACAGGTACAACGTGCTTTGAGAATCCTGCAATCGACCGAAATCTGCATGGCATTTACGAACCGGATGTCAATTTCGTTACGCGATTCTGATTGGACTGTGCACAGACTCGTTAGTCCAGCCAATATACAACTCCATAATAACAGCCTAGTTCGGCAAGGGTGGAAAATGGACTTTTACAGTCAGTTAACTCCCTTGACTCGGGAAGATGAGGTACAAAGTCAAGACAATGTCTATGTGCAGTTACGTCTAGATAGTGCCAACATAATTCTCTATAGAGACAGCGTATTATATTTTCTTGTAGATTGACCTTTGAATGATCCTTAATTTGGTTATTTGACTTTATACTAAAACTTTTTGGTTTGGTTTCTTTGTTTGTTGTTTTACGCCGCACTCAGCAATATTCCAGCTATATGACGGCGGTCTGTAAATAATCGAGTCTGGACCAGAAAATCCAGTGATTTACATCGTTAATATCGATCCACGCAATTCGGATCGATGACATGCTTCAACCAAGTCAGCGAGCCTGACCACCCGATCCCGTTAGTCGCCTTTTACGACAAGCATGGGTTGCTGAAGACCTATTCTAACGCGGATCTTCACGGGTCTAAAACTCTATGGATATAGGGATACCACACCGTTTGTATCGCTGTCAACAATTTTCTGCGCGATACTTGAATTATTCGTGGTCTGAATCTTGATACAATGAATTCTTAGAATGTTTTCAATTTGCGTTTATATACTTTATATTTTATGTATTTTTTATACATTTTTATAGCATCCTTAAAGCACAATGATTCCACGTTTTACTATCCCTGTACAATACCACGAGGACAGGCGTATCGGAGGATATTGTTTCCATTTTAAAAGTAGATAAATTAATATTTTTTATTAATTGACATCAAGAACAGTCTTCTATTTTGGATGCAATAAGTGACTTGGTGTGTTTCAGTAATTTTGTAGCGTTATAACAAATATACTGAACAACAAAAGTTCCTGTGACATTGAATAAGATTAAATGCAAAGTTATGTTTATTACCAATTCTGAAACAATTTCGGTTTGCAACAGATAAAAGACTCCTTGTAAGTGTTCAAATGGTTTAATTTGCCATACAGACTTCAGAAAATGCGTGATTTCATTAAAAAACATGAACATGCCAAAATGTCAATTTACAAATCAATAGCGTGTGTGTCCACCTCTGGTTGCGATGCAAGCAACACATCTTCGTCTCATGGAATGGACTAGGCGTCGCACAAAGTCCTGTGGGATATCTGTCCATATCTGCTGGAGCATGTTTCGAAGTTCCTGTAGTGTCTGTGGAACACGCGGTTGACGTCGAAGGCGCCGATCCATCTCATCCCACATGTGCTCGATTGGTGAGAGATCGGGGGAGCGAGCAGGCCAGGGGATGACATTCACGTTGTTTCGTTGAAGAGAATCCTGAACAAATCGAGCAATATGAGGCCGGGCGTTGTCATGTTGAAAGGTAATATTACGATTAGACAATGGACGATAGTAGGAGCAACTATCCGGTGACCCGCACACGTCCATGCTTTGAGGGCAGTTTGAAGTCATACCTCAATAGCAGTGTAACATGTGTAGGAGCTATATAGTCTAGCCCTCCGCCTTTAATACATTGGGTCATACCTAAAGACGTTAAAAGATGGTACTTGTTGTTACCCTGCCTGGCGCTCGGCACTGAGGGAATAACACAAGAACTGGTCGGCTTTGAGTGTAAATAAAACTGCAATTGCAATGTGTAGATGATTTTGGTTTCCGTACTTATAAAGTACAGCTGTTGTGTTTATAAAGTACAGCTGTTGTGTTTATAAAGCACAGCTGTTATATTTATAAAGTACAGCTGCTGCAGTGTTGTATAGTACATCTGTTACGGTGTTTATAAAAAACAGCTATTGCTGTGTTTATAAAGTACAGCCGTTGTGTTTACAAAGTACAGCCGTTGTGTTTATAAAGTACAGCTGTTGTGTTTATAAAGTACAGCTGTTATGATTGTTAAGTAGAGCTGTTGTGTTTATAAAGTACAGCTGCTGCAGTGTTGTATAGTACATATGTTACGGTGTTAATAAAGTACAGCTGTTGCGGTGTTATATAGTACAGCTGTTTTGTTTATAAAGTACAGCTGTTGTGTTTATAAAGTACAGCTGTTATGATTGTTAAATAGAGCTGTTGTGTTTATAAAGTACGGCTGTTGCGGTGTTTATAAAGTACAGCTGTTATGTTTATAAAGTACAGCTGCTGCAGTGGTGTATAGTACATATGTTACGGTGTTAATAAAGTACAGCTGTTGCGGTGTTATATAGTACAGCTGTTGTGTTTATAAAGTACAGCTGTTATGATTGTTAAGTAGAGCTGTTGTGTTTATAAAGTACGGCTGTTGCGGTGTTAATAAAGTACAGCTGTTATGTTTATAAAGTACAGCTGCTGCAGTGTTGTATAGTACATATGTTACGGTGTTAATAAAGTACAGCTGTTGCGGTGTTATATAGTACAGCTGTTGTGTTTATAAAGTACAGCTGTTATGATTGTTAAGTAGAGCTGTTGTGTTTATAAAGTACGGCTGTTGCGGTGTTAATAAAGTACAGTTGTTATGTTTATAAAGTACAGCTGCTGCAGTGTTGTATAGTACATCTGTTACGGTGTTAATAAAGTACAGCTGTTGTGTTTATAAAGTACAGCTGTTGTGTTTATAATGTACAGCTGCTGAAGTGTTGTATAGTACATCTGTTTCGGTGTTAATAAAGTACAGCTGCTGCGGTGTTATATAGTACAGCTGTTTCGGTATATTAATGTTATTGCAGTCTGATATATTTTGTAACAATATAATGCTAATGTTATTATTGGTATATTTGCTATTGTTGTATGTGAGAGTCTTGATATTGTTGTTGGTATATTTATAACTGCAAACCACGGTCACCATGGAGGCTGATTGCCCATTCCTCGCTAATATACGTGTTTCAAAAACCTGTTTCGACATGTAAAGGGTGAGGCGTGAACGTGTCACTTCGCAAGATCCGTTTCTTTACGTGAGACAAAAAACGGTAAATATATTATATGCATGTTTCCTTTCATGTCCACGTGTTCATAATCTCGAACTGAAGGTGTCCCCCTGGAGACCTGTCACTCACCCCAGTATCAAAGGACCCGTTATCAGTTCGATAAGACTGATCAAGATCCTAGACCTAGTTAACCCTGGCTGTATCTCATGAATCATATCCATATACACAAGCTCAGGGCTATGCATTTAACGTGAAAGGCAAGTCCTATACATTAAGACTATTCCTTTAAAAACTTACAAATTAAGTATATATTAAGTATACTACAATAATTAATTATATATGCATCAATTAAATATGTGTTAATACAGTAGCTCCCCGTTCTAATCCTACGTATTTCAGATAATACCTTTGATAGTCAACGGTGGACTACAGCTATATGACGGTGGTCCACGCAGTGTAACTGTCAGCAATACTACAGCTATATGACGGTGGTCCACACAGTGTAACGTCAGCAATACTACAGCTATATGACGGTGGTCAACAGAGTGTAACGTCAGCAATACTACAGCTATATGACAGTGGTACACACGGTGTAACTGTCAGCAATTCTACAACTATATGACGGTGGTCAACAGAGTGTAACGTCAGCAATACTACAGCTATATGACGGTGGTCCACACAGTATAACGTCAGCAATACTACAGCTATATGACGGTGGTCCACGCAGTGTAACTGTCAGCAATACTACAGCTATATGACAGTGGTCCACACAGTGTAACGTCAGCAATACTACAGCTATATGACGGTGGTCCACACAGTGTAACGTCAGCAATACTACAGCTATATGACGGTGGTACACACGGTGTAACTGTCAGCAATACTACAGCTATATGACGGTGGTACACACGGTGTAACTGTCAGCAATACTACAGCTATATGACAGTGGTCCACGCAGTGTAACTGTCAGCAATACTACAGCTATATGACAGTGGTCCACACAGTGTAACGTCAGCAATACTACAGCTATATGACGGTGGTCCACACAGTGTAACGTCAGCAATACTACAGCTATATGATGGTGGTCCACACAGTGTAACGTCAGCAATACTACAGCTATATGACGGTGGTACACACGGTGTAACTGTCAGCAATACTACAGCTATATGACGGTGGTCCACGTAGTGTATCTATCAGCAATACTACAGCTATATGACAGTGGTCAACACAGTGTAACTGTGTCCAATACTACAGCTATATGACAGTGGTCCACACAGTGTAACTATCAGCAATACTACAGCTATATGACAGGGGCCCAGACAGTGTAACGTTAGCAATACTACAGCTATATGACAGTGGTCCACACAGTGTAACGTTAGCAATACTACAGCTATATGACAGTGGTCCACACAGTGTAACGTCAGCAAGACTACAGCTATATGACAGTGGTCCACACAGTGTAACTATCAGCAATACTACAGCTATATGACAGTGGTCCACACAGTGTAACGTCAGCAATACTACAGCTACATGGCGGTGGTCCACACAGTGAAACTGTCTCCAATACTACAGCTATATGACGGTGACCCACACAGTGTAACGTTAGCAATACCACAGCTATATGACAGTGGTCCACACAGTGTAACGTCAGCAAGACTACAGCTATATGACAGTGGTCCACACAGTGTAACTATCAGCAATACTACAGCTATATGACAGTGGTCCACACAGGTTAACGTCAGCAATACTAAAGCTATATGACAGTGGTCCACACAGTGTAACGTTAGCAATACTACAGCTATATGACAGTGGTCCACACAGTGTAACGTCAGCAAGACTACAGCTATATGACAGTGGTCCACACAGTGTAACTATCAGCAATACTACAGCTATATGACAGTGGTCCACACAGTGTAACGTCAGCAAGACTACAGCTATATGACAGTGGTCCACACAGTGTAACTATCAGCAATACTACAGCTATATGACAGTGGTCCACACAGTGTAACGTCAGCAATACTACAGCTACATGGCGGTGGTCCACACAGTGAAACTGTCTCCAATACTACAGCTATATGACGGTGACCCACACAGTGTAACGTTAGCAATACCACAGCTATATGACAGTGGTCCACACAGTGTAACGTCAGCAAGACTACAGCTATATGACAGTGGTCCACACAGTGTAACTATCAGCAATACTACAGCTATATGACAGTGGTCCACACAGGTTAACGTCAGCAATACTAAAGCTATATGACAGTGTTCCACACAGTGTAACGTTAGCAATACTACAGCTATATGACAGTGGTCCACACAGTGTAACGTCAGCAAGACTACAGCTATATGACAGTGGTCCACACAGTGTAACTAT